CATTTTGGCTCACTGGATATTTTCTCTTTTTGGGACCATCCTCTGTAAACCCTAGAGATGGTTGTGTGTGAAAATCCCAGTAAATACTCAGACCAGCCCGTCTGGCACTAGCAATCATGCCACGTTCAAAGTCACTTAAATCACCTTTCTTACCCATTCTGATGCTCAGTTTGAACTTCAGCAGGTCGTCTTCACCATGTCTACATGTCTAAATGCATTGTGTTGCTGCCACATGATTGGCTGATTAGCTATTTGCGCTAACAAGCAGTTGAAAAGGTGTACCTAATAAAGTGGCCAGTAAGTGTATGTAGCCCTGTACGCTACATTTTGCCAACAGGTAAGTGGAGGTTTTTAAGTAAAAAGACAGCATTGGGTTCAATTGTAGGTCTAACGATTTGTATCTGAAATATGGACTTTTACACAGAAGGGCTTGACTCATGTGAAAAAAAGGAAATTAAAAGATGGATAAACAAAACAAGACAAAAATGTTTGTGGTATTTGAGACCTCACAAATTCAAAATTAAGATTATTCAATGACTTTTAAGGCCTATCACTTATGGAACTGAATTTAAGACTTTTTAAGGACATGTAGCCTGTAATTATTAAACTTCAGCTACGCTGGCAGGTGGATGTTCTTGCCTCCAGGCAGAGCCACGCTAGCTGTTTCCTGTTTCCAATATTTATGTTATGTTATGTTAAGCTCAACAGCTGCTGGCTGTAGCTTCATATTTAATATGCAGATATCAGAGTGGTATCACTCTTCTCATCTATCTCAGTAAGAAAGCAGATAAGCCCATTCTAGAAAATGACAACCTATTCTTTTGAAATCAGCCTATAATAATGGGTTGGTGATTAATTCTACTTTCATACTGGTGTTGTTTGGTCGCAGAGTCGAGCGACATTTTATACACATAACAGACAATGTCAGCTGTCATTTCTGTTTTCGTATAGAACTGGCAATGCACCTCTCATTGGGAGCTTGAGCCATAAATAATCCATTATATTTATGTTGCACTTTCTGCAAACACAAAGGCACTTAGCAGAAGGCAGCAGAGCATACGCCATGAAAGAAGTGGTCATAAAATAACAAACACAACAAAATCCGAGAGGACAAGGCAAAGTAACAATTAATTTTCTGAAACAAACAAACAAACAAAAAAACAGGAGGAAAACACAGAAAGCTACTTACATCCTTACTCCCTTCAACCACACTGTTGTAATGACTGTGACAATATCTGCAAAATACACAAAGAGTATCAGTTCACCTTATTTGACCAATGTGCTGAACACAAGATAATGGCACAGGTAAAGGGACAGTTTACCCCAAAGTCAAAAATACATTTTCCCTCTTACCTGTAGTGCTATGTATCAGTCTAGATTGTTTTGGTGTGAGTTAGTGAGTGTTGGCGCTATCAGCTGTAGGGATGTCTGCCTTCTCTGCATTAAAATCAAAATTACATTTGAAAACCTCAACATCAATGTCTCTTTCCAGAAATCATGACCTGGTTACTCAAAATAATCCACAGACCTTGTTGTGAGCAGTTTCATGTAGGAACTATTTTCTGTCCAGCGAACTACACCTGCTAGCTATATCACTGCGCAGAAGGAAGTGTGCATCTACTGCTAGCTCACCTAGCACCACTGAGCTAGCTAACATTACAGTTCAGCTGATGAGGACACCATTAATGTTTAAATCTCGCACTGTCATGAGTACGAGCCTCTTGTCCGTGAGTAGATGAACGCTTCCTTTTGCATGGTGATAGAGTTGGTGGGTATACCCCGGTTGAAGAAAACAGTTCCTACTTACAACAGCAGAAAACAAGGTCTGTGGATTATCTTGAGTAACTGGGTCATGATTTCTGGACTGAGACATTGATGTTGAGTTTTTCAAATTGATTGTTTTGGCACTTTGAGCACCACAAGCTGAGTGCCATCTAGTTCCATTATATTAGAGAGAAGGAAGACATCTCTACAGCTGATATCTCCAACACTCTGCAACTCACACTAAAACAATCTGGACTGATAAACAGCACTACAGGTACGAGGAAAAATTTGTATTTTTGATTCTGGGGTGAACTGTCACTTTAAAGCATTTGATCCATTTCAGATGTGACCTTTAAAATGTATTTTGCCACTTCACAGAAACAAGCTTAACAGTAAATTTGATTCCAGAGCAGACATCAACTCACTACTTTCCCAATTTTCTGTTTCGGACTACTTTACAGTCAGATATTGCTTCCTCATCATTAGTCAAGTTAGCTGCTGGAGTTAGCAAACATTTGGCTGGTGTTTGGTATTAATTCCCCACCCAGTTATTCTGCAGGACTCTGTGGTGTTTGCAGAATTACTCACTCTTCAGCCATGCGGGTGTCTTTCAGGATGTGCACATAGATGAAGAGCGCCTGCTCGTGTTTACCCATTCGACCCAGAAGCAAAGCCCGTTCCTCCAGCAAACCTTGGAAAGTAAAAACAAGGTCAAAAGGTGCAAGTTTTCCCTTCAGCTTGAACATATAGAACTTTGCTGAAACTTTCCTCTATAACTGAGAACATATGCACATGAGGTAATGGGAAATGAAAAACTTTGTTTTCCTTAGGTGCATGTTACGTAACATCACACTGAGCCCCTTTTGTGATATTGGGTTGACATAATGATGTTAAAACCTGTGGTTCACTTTGAATTTCTACAGATTCCTATTTCAGAAACAACCCATTTCCCTCCATACCTTACATGTAAATGCTTAAGATATTATGACAAAATGATGATACAATGAAATACAGTCTTCTTCAGAAATGAAACCCACATTCTTGTTTGTCGGTATATGTTAAACACAGAAGAGATGTCTTATTTGTTCACCGCAGATCTCTTACCATCAAAGGGGAAGTCACTGATAAGCCTGGCTGGTTCATAGCTGGTAGAAATATCCAGGAAAGACAGCAGCTTGTTCCTGAACTCTCCCAGATCACCGTCCTCCTTCCCAGCAGCAACAGCTGGAACTCCTATAACAGCACAGACGTTTTAATTATGCAGAGTCCAGAGCTGAAAACATTGGTCCATTAATCAGTCAGTTGATCAACAGAACTTGAATCTACAATCAAAAAAATAAATAAAAAATCACAGGTTCTGCCAAAAGCAAATATCTGCTCATTTTCTTGGTCTTCTGTGACAGTACATTGAATTCATTTGGGTATTGGACTGTTGGTTGGACAAAATAAGTCTGAAGACATCATCTTTGACTCTGGGTAACTGCGAGGAGCATTTTTCACAATGTCATGATATTTTATAGACTAGTTCTTTTACACGATTCTACTGACTGACAGTAAGCCTAGAGATATCCTTGCTTTCAACTATGCGCTCACATGTGAATAATGGCTGCCTTCCGTATCCTGTGTCTGTTTGGTTGTGCATGTCCTCAGAAATTAAGGCCATGCGTATGCAATATGCACTTGAACAGTAGGGGCAGTGTAACATACATACTTGCCATTGTTATGATGCGCTTCAGAGGAGCGTTTAGGAGCCTTTTATAGAGCCTGGCCTGCTCTCGCTTTTTCTGCCTTAAGCTGATGATATATTTGCTTTTGATCTAACTGTTTAGTAGACAACCAGACACTACACTTGGGGAGGTTACAATTTTGTTGATGATGGCAGAAAAAGTGAATGCAGCTCTGTCATAGAGGGTATGTATCAAGCATGTCATGACATGACAACCACTAGTGGCTGTTCACGTCCTCAGGTGTGATATGCAGATGATCAGTAGGGGCAGTGTTGGCAGGATGATAGAGACATACTTGCCATTGTCATGATGTGCTTGGTTGTCTACTAAACAGTTAGATCACAAACTGGTAGATGCTAGAGTGTACCTACCGACAACAGTGTTTCTCCTTGTCCTGCCCTACTGTGCTGTGACTGGCTAGTACTTACCACAACTACGACCTCTTTGCCCTGACCCACACCATTTCCAACCTCGACACGCCAATTACAGCACTTAATCAGAGCACAGTAGGGCGAGACGAAGCAAGACACTTCCTTCAACAGGTACATTCTAGCAATTACCCTCTAAAAGGGCACAGGGTATGTGAGGCGGCCATCATGAGCATGCAAAGACATTGTTAAATGCAGGTGTATCTTCGGCCTTAGCGTGAGGTGATGCACCAACCAAGGCAGTGAAGGAGAAGACTGCTGGCAGGCATACATGGCTGTAAATAATGCATGTTTTCAAATATCTAAAAGTCTGGATGTAAACACAACTTTTCAGTTATTCTCTTTTTAAGAAAGCTCCAGAAGAAACTCAACAGGGCACATTTGAGGTGAACCTGAAAATACTACTGATACAGCAATTATAAATAATGTATGTAAAGCTGAATAATCTCAGAGAAACAGTATCTTAATATCACCGGCTGTGTTCTGCAATATTCTTCATAACACCATGAGCAGCAATAACCTGCCCCCAAGAACAGATTTATTCACTTAATTAGCTGCTTTTATTAGTTTGTTTCTCAGACAGAGTGCACATTAATGAGCATTACTGCAAACATAGCTGTCTGACAGGTTCATTTTAATACACGGTCCCTGGATGATCATCAAAAGACACAAACAGAGAGAGAGACGGATGGACTTCATAATAAGTCCTGACACAAGCTTTATCTGCAAAGATATGAGAGACAACTATCTGGATGAGTATGCAAAAGGCAAATTCAACCCATATGCAATGATGTAATCACATGAAAATCCCACCATATATTAGAAATATGTTCTTTTCTTATTAAGTTTTCATCACCAAAAAAGGCAGTAGAGGTATTTTGTTATAGATATTAAAGCCCGGGGGTCAGCTCAGACACATCAGTTACATTCCCTTTATGTTCTCGCTTTGCTTCAGGTAGAAATTATTGAATGTTAAGTGTCTTTCAGCTCTTTTAATTACATATATGTGTCAGGATGAAAATAATAGATTAAAATCATAGTTTTTAAGGTGGAAAAAATGAGTTACTGTTAAACTTTTCATGACTTTTTAAGAGCTTGCAGATACTTAAACAGATAGTTCAGACTTTTTTTTTTTAAATTGGGGTTGTATGAGGTTTTTATCCATAGTCAGTGCATTAGCAGAAGACACAGGAAGGAGAACCACCATGGAAGCTATGCGGTGTACTGCTATGGATCAGGGCAGCAGCAGAACAAATTTTATCCATCAAAACGTCCATATCGGTTATAGTGTACCCCATATTAAGAATATTTTCACTGCCTTACCTTGTCATTAGACAGCCCTTGAGATGGGTAACTGCAGCTGTTCGCTCTCTTCTGTTCAAAGTCACCCGACTCCTTTAACAAAAGCAGTAATTTGACCTTGTAGAAGATGGAGAGGTGATGGTCTGCTGCTACTTTGATTGGTTTGTTTGTTTTTGTGCTATTGTGTGACGTTGGTGTTGTTAAAGGGTTAGACTCACCGAAGTCACACAGTCACACAAACAAACTGAATGACTGAGGCAGCAGCTGATGAGCAACTCCCAAGTTCTGTGAGATAAAATTACCGTTTGGTCAAAGGAGTCTGGTGGCTTTGAAGACAGCACAGTTGGATATAATGGCTTCAGTTCCCCATCAGATACGGCCGTCTGACAGCAAGGTTAAGCTGTGAAAATATTCTAAATATAGTGTACACTTAGATTGATATTCCTGCTGCCCCCATCCACGGCAGGACATTGCTTAGTTTCCGCGGTGGTACTCCTGCCGGCTTCTCCAACAAGCATGGCTGAAAGTGACATTATTAGCGACTCTGCAGTAGTTCCAAAAAGAGGAGCAGCTTCAGTAGTGCGGAATAAACTGTGGCGTCCTGAATGTTTCATGAACAGCCCCAGACTTCTTAGACTCTTTTAGTGACTTACTGCTCAGAGGGAACTCATTCAGCTGCTCCTCTGGCAGCAGCACAGCGTCTCTCCCTGATTTTGTCATAAACCTTTGGTGATATAAACCTACGTGACGCTTGCAGCTCGACAAAAACGGCATATATGTGAATGTGTGATAGTTGTGGTATCATAGCAGCCTGTCACAGGTTACAGCGTGATGATTAGAGGAGAAATGGCAGAGCATAAAGGTCCAGGTGGAAAAAACACAACTCATCATTTAGGATTTGTATTTAGGAGCTGTTTAAATGTGTAATTTGTGGTAGATTTTATTTTGTTGAACTAGTAATGTTGTAAGCAGAATCTGAATCTCATTACTGTTGTTGTTCACATACTAAAGAAATGAGAGATTATTTTTGTTTTTACTGAATATTTGAAGCAAACTGTAAAACTCTATCACTTATTTTGTTGCAATTCTGTTTTCTCAAATCATTTTTTTGACTTGTTTGTCATATCGTCAAGAATATCATTATCACATAAATACCCTGAAATACTGTGATATTATTTTAGGGCCATATTGCCCACCTCCACTAACTATAGATGAGTACCTCACACCACCCTTTAAAAGAACTATCCCTTTAACTTAAATTAATTTTGAGTTGCTCGTACCTTCTGGCAGTGAGTTAAGGTACTGTTTCATGAGGCCTTGAACCCTCTCCAGGTAGAGCTGGATCAGCACATTGTGAAACTCCGGGCCTTTTTCATCCCACACGTAAATGATGTGCTCCAAATATGGGATGGCGAGCTCCTTAAAGCCCTCCTTCAGGAAGTTCAGCACCTTGTCTCTAGGCAGAGTCTCCACCTCTGTCAGGTCCTCGGTGAAGATCTGGACAGGAAGAGAGATTTTTAAACCTAAAGGAGAGTTTTCTTCGTGGTGAGTGGACATAAAGTAGAGGTAAACTTTTTTTTAAAGAAATGTCTGCTGTCATGCAACTAAACAACAAAATCAATTTAAGAAAGTAGAATCCATGTAGAGCAAAACAAATAATTAAACCTTTGTTCAACATTTTGTGTACATCTCAGTGTCCCACCTTCAGGCCATCCTCAGGGCAGATCTTCAACACCCAGGGAGAAAACTCAAAGATTATTCCCAAATTCTCCACTCCTGTGTGAGGGGGATGACAAGAGATAAATAAATGTCCCTTCAACAGGAAGTAAAGATGGAGAAACAGCAGATGATCAAGCTCATAATCAGCAATCACCTTCAGAAAACCGTCTTTCAAAGTGACATGCAACACTTTACCGAACCCCTTTTGAGAGTTATCAGCCCATTAATCGACCGATAATGAATTGGCAATTAGAGTATTTTAATAGCATTTCATTATATGAATAATTAAAGTTATTTTTTCAGCAAAAAAATCTTTACATTATGTACTGTTAGTCGGACAAAAAAACAACATTTAAAGATGCCACCATAGACAATTTTCTGACAGTTTATAGACCAAATGATCACTTGATAAATCGTGAGAATAATCAGCACATTAAATAATAATTGAAACATTTGTTATTATTGCAGTGTATCTCAGTGTAGTAGCATGTATATATAGTATACACATCCATAAGCTGCTGCTGCTGAGTTTTTTAAATGTCATTTTTTTGGAGCTTTGAGCACCACAAGCCGAGTACCATGTAGTTTCATTATACTGGAGAGAAGGCAGACATCTCCACAGCTGATATCTCCAACACTTGGCAACTCACACCAAAACAATCTAGACTGATAAACAGCTCTACAGGTTAGAGGGAAGATTTGATTTGGGATGGAATGACCCAGTGCTGCCCACAAAACTTATTTGTAGTACATCTGCTAAAGGAGGGCTCAGAAGGGTTGTTTCTACTTCTGTTTCAAAACCATCATTCCAGATATAATGGGTTTTTTTTAGTTGCTAGACAGCAGAAAAATACTGCTGTATAATGCACTGCTAACATTAACAAATTGAGTCACCGCCGGGGAGGCTGAAAGCCTCCACTCAGCTTTTGATATTTTTTTCCACTGGGTTTTATTTCACAGGCAATTTACTAGATGTTTCTTGAGTTCAAACACATTTTGGGAAACAGGTGCATGGGAAGAATCAAAAACAAAAATCACTCCCAACATGATTTTTTTTTTTACAGCTAAGAGAAGACCTTCAACATGAAGAAACTCCTCCAGGCTAAATGCAATGCTGTTTAGCTAAAGTGGTTTCGACTCTAACCAAACGTGGGCACTAACAACACGACTGGCATTAAAAAAAGCTTCAAGACATCTAATCACAGACTCACTCTACAGGAGACATTGTAATTAGAGAATCATTATACCACAGTGTCATAATTAATTTAAAACTTTAACAGAAACTCACACATGGCACCTTTAACTGCCAAGTATCTGTTAAGTAATTTACCTTGGCATCACTGGAACAGATCTAAACAATTCACAGACCTCAAGCCTCATTTAGCCGGTGCCAGACATGTGAAGACTACAGACCATGACACTGGACAGACTGTACATTTCATCCAACATCCACAATCAATCAGGGTGAAAGTTTTCTCAGAGCCTTTCCCAAAATCACACCAACAAATTCACCACATCTAGCCAAGATGACAGCTTTGACACTCTAAGTTAAAACAGACTTGAGTTGGCCGGTGATCCTTACCCAGTCTCTGGAGGTACTGCACAGTTCGCTCGTGGCCCTTCAGTGGAGAGTTGGCCTTGGTGGACTGGTCCAGCAGCACCTGCAGAGCTGTGAGAGGGCAAACAGGGTGAGGAAAAGTGACGGGAGGCAAGTGAGAGCAAATGTGAGATTAGTGTGAGTGATGGAAAGTGGCAAGATGTCATCGACTCTGTGGTGTGCAGCCTGTTACATAACTCCACCACCAACAGAAACTGGACGGAGCGCGTACACGGTGTTAATTGGCGGACGGGAACAGCTGGTTTGAATTGGCAGAGATAAAGAGGAGCAGGCTCGATCAGCATGACATCAGAAGCACAAATTGCAGCCGGGTGATTAAAACCAGCCGCGCTCGCGGTGAGAACAGCCCAGAATCTGCCGCCAGAAACCAAATAACATTGAGACAGCTCTGATCTACGAGGATGACGAGTCCACCGCATGCAGGAAACCTCCTCTGAGATAAACTGTGTAGCCTGACAGAGCCGATCCACGCTGCGCCCAGAGAACAGCTTTGTTACAAACACATTACTGGTACCTATTGAATTTAAACATACTGAAACAATTCAGCATCCTATAGCTCTTCTATATGAAGTGGGAGGTAATGAAGCAGCCACTGACAAAGGCTGACACAGATCTGGCATCAAGTGATTCATCATTTAAATACTAGAACCCAAACTCAATATCCAATTTGAAAGTGAGATGGAGAACAGATGTTTCATTGTGTGTTATTGTTGTGTGTTCTGTTGTCATGTTGAGGCCTGCAACAAATAAACCACGTTTTGATGAATGAAATTGAACTCTGATATCAGTCATTATCCAGTTATCCCAGTTATCTAGTAATTTCCCACTTCAATAATGTTTTATCAAACGGGAACCTTCATTGCAAAGTTAACAAATTGAGTACAAATTGAGGGTTTCCTTTAAAAGGTTCAATGAAATGCAGCTCTGACTGAAGCAATACAACTCTATAAAAAGACTCCATAACAAGTAAAAGTCCTGCTTTTAAAATTCTATTTAAAAGATTAATTGAACCACCAACCATTTGTATATCAATTACTCACTGCATGTTAACTTGAATTCATGAAGGAATATGTTTTTCTCAAATGCCTCCACAGTGACTGGAGAATCCAAAAAAGGTGAACACTCATCATGAATTGAAGTGTATGGAAGCTGCATTTAGCAACAGCACATCAAAACATTTGTTCACAAACTCACAGAACTCGTGCAATATTATCCAAGTCTCATCTATCCAGTCCTAAACACAGTACTTCCGAAACATATGCATTTTTGCTGAAAAGTTACGATTTAAAACACCTCCACCTATGAGTAGCGCATCCCGAGTACACACGTACGCCTGTGCTCCCCTTGAGCAGGGGTCAAATGCACGCACTTTCACAACAGTGCTCCCTGTGAGTGCGATACTGTTGATACTGTTGATGCTGAGGTATTCTGAAGGCATGTTGTGGAGGCATGCTAGAAAAACAATGTTTTCTTCATTAATTCAAGGTAACACTGAGTAATTGATGTACAAATGATTATTTTAAGGGTGGAGCATTCCTTTAAGTAAAAGTATAAAAGCAACAGCAAAATGTACTTTAAACATTAAAGTAAAAGGACTAAATGAGAGTGTTAAATTAAAACAATATTGTGTCGGTGTTTACCTCTAGCTACTTAATACACTGCTGTGTAGTTGTTGCTTTTTTAAGGAGTAGTTCCTAAATAACTCTTTTTGGCCTTCTCTTCCTTTATCAGATAGCAGAGATGAAAGACATGAAAGCAGGGAGAGAGGGGAATACAGGCAGCAAAGGGCCGCAGGTTGGAAAGGGATATAGCCCTTACATGGGGCTCATGCCCGACCGGGTGAGCTATTGAGGCGCCCCACTGCGTAGTTTAATCTCTATCCATGCAACAAATTTTATAAATTTGATAAATGAAATATGATAATGTTATGTGTAAAAATCTTAATCCAAAAAGTAACTTGTATCTGCAGCTGTCATACAATAAACCTTTCGCCACAGACCATTTCTTTTAAACTTATTGCGGCTTCCAAATAAGTTCAAAAACAGCCGCCAACACATGCCATAACAGGAGATATGATAAACTCACTGTTCTTTCCCAAATGCCAGGTCAGGTGGTGAATTAAAGTGACACAAAACATAATTATAGGAAAATAGGACTTGCTAGAAATGACTCAAATCTAATTCAACATTTTGAAAATGTGTAGACGAACAAGCAAAAGTCACACAGAGAAAAAAGACCTTGCATCTAGTATTGTCTTGTATGAACTAAACATTCGTGACGCTAATTTGAAATTCCTTTGGCAAGCCAGTGTCAACGCTTCATGCACAACAAGCCATTGTTCAAGCTTTGTTTCCTGATTCAAACAATATTGAGATTTTGCTAGAAAACCAAACAATAAAACTGTTTTTTTTAGTACTGTGAAGAGTAGGTTTGTTAAACAATGAGGTAAAATGCTGGAAGGAATCTGCGGCACTTTTGATGCAGAAAAACACCCGCCCCATTTCAAGCAACATGGCAGTGATCACAGTGGCTTTTCACTGGTGTGATCGAAAACCACAGCTGATATTTCTTTCTTTACACACTGAATAAGATCAGATTAATAAGGTTTATTGGGTTGTTGGAGTTTGTTGGGTTGGTCATGTATTTCTGGAGGTGACTCATAAAATGTCTATTAGATTATAGAGATTATTTTTCATATATATTTACATGTTTTAATTTGAGATATATTTTCTATTTGACAAATCTATGTGGTTGAACGTTAACTTATACTGCAGGTTTATCCTCTTCTGTTTAATCTATTTTCTCGTTTCTCCCCGTCATGTTTTGTTTAATACAAGTTGTGCCCTCTACTTGCTTATGCAGCTAAAAATTACTGTTACCCATTCATGCAAAAAAAGCCTATTTGAACTTGCACTTGAACTCAACAGAGCGAAATATCTGCCAGTTTTCCAGGAAAGCCAAAGACAGCTGAAGGAGGTGTATAAATCCCCACCATTTCAAAGGAATTATTACGCTCCAGATCACACATAATCAAATGGAATTCAAACTGTTTTTGCAGAGAAGCACAGCTCAGTACAAATACACAAATAGGGACGTGGCATCAAGCATCCTGTTTCTGAGACAGGGCTGGTTGAAAAGGAAAAATCACTTTGTAAATAAACTGTCCACTTTAAGAAAAGCAGATCACTTTTGTTTGTGTCACGAAAATGCACAAAATATCTTGATAAGCATTGAATAAAAATAGCGTGATCTTAAACTGCTGGCAGGCAAAATTTATTTTATAGTTCATATTTGAAAGAAGGCAGACATTTCCAACACTTGGCAACTCACACCAAAACACTCTACAATGATAAATAGCACTACAGGTAAGAGGAAAAACGTGTTTTTGATTTGGGGTGAACTGAGACACAATGACTCTGAACCACAAATGTATCTATATGGACAATGTTTTTATTCCCAGTTTGATCTTCGTCAGGACAAACTGTTTAGAAATGGTATTCAGAACCACATGAATATCTACTAATAGACTGTGGTTCATCTTCAACTTGCCAAGGGTGATAAAACTATTAACAATTCAAGCAGCAGAAAATGAATACTTGCTCTAAAATACACGAATCCCAAAGGGTAAGAGTTCAGAGAGAAGAGTAAATCAAATATTTAACTAGAATTAACGGCCAAAGGTTGTATGCCTCCACGCACGAGCCAAGTTTCTTTTGCAGTTTACACCCATGTTGGTGAAAACATGGATGCTTCACAACCATTGTCCCCTCAACAGTACAGGAAATCTAAACCGACCAAGTGGATGTTTGTGTCAAATTAAAAGAAATTCCCTTAAGGTTAAGATTTTGTGTTCAAGTCCATGTGGACATTTGTGCCAAATTTGAAGAAATTCTCTCAAGCTGTTCTTGAGATATCACATTCACGAGAATGAGACAGACAAGGTCATAGAGACCTTGACCTTTCACATATGACCACCAAAAACTAATCAGTTCATCACTGAGTCACAGTTGTGAAGTTGTAAGTTGTAACTTTTCATAGATAGCCCTGCACTTGATGTGCGTATAATTAAAGGGTAACTTTGGTATTTTTTTTTAACCTTGACCCTATTTTCCTATGTTTTGTGTCTAAGTGACTAATATGAAACAGTTTTTGAAATTGGTCCAGATTTGAGGAGACCACTGCAGCTGGCAGTGGCGAAACAGGCTGCAATGTGTTAATGGGCAATCGTGCACCGTCAATGTACGCTGCTAAAAGTGTTTGTTTTTACCACTGATGGGCTCAGATTTTTATTCAAAGTGTCTGACAACATTATAGAAAGGATCCTGACAGAGATAGACCTTTTTATTAAAGAGTAAGATCCTTTTTGTTTAACAAAGAAACAGCCCCGCAATCGCCATAAAACTCAGAAAATCCACCTTGGTTCATCTTTTCACTGTTCCAACAATCACTAATTCTGGTTTGGTTGAAAAAAACTCTTAATTTACCCTGTGAGAAGTGAAAATATGGTTGCTCTATAAAAGCTAAAATTACTGTTCATTTAAGTGTAGTCTGGTGGGTTTGGCAATTTCTGGGCTATTTCTAGTTAAACAAAAAGGAACTTACTCTTTAAAAAATGGTCTATCTCTGTAGGGATCCTTTTCATAATGTTGTCAGACACTTAGGGTGCTTTCACACCTGCCCTGTTTGGTTTGGTTCAATCAAACTCAAGTTGGTTTGCCCCCCAAGTGCTTTTTGTTTGGGCAGCTGTGAACACAGCAATCGTACTCGAGTGTGCACCAAAAGAACCGGACCAAGACCTTCTTGAGGAAGTCGATCTGAACCAACTGCAGTCACATGACACATTGTTTGGGTTAAACATGAGCATGTTACAGTCCTGGAGGATTATTAATGTGCACCTCCTCCTGTACTGCCTTAATATGCACATTCAGCACATCCAATGCGTCAAAACATTTTTTTCTAGTTGGAGCCGCGCCTCATTTTCAAACTGTATGGTTTGACTAAAATGAACAATGACAGCAATATAGTCCACGATGAGCAGCGCTAAAATCAACCTGCGTAGCTGTCCCTCCATTGTGACATTAGAAAGTGTCACATTTATCTTGCAAGTGTACTCTTCTTCAACGTTTGGTTTACTTCCTGGATTTTACCCACATGGAAATTCTGACCAATCAAGAGCAGCTGTCTCGCACAAGGCATTTGATCTGGTCCGCTTGTAAATGGTTACACTGCAGCCTATTTTGCCGCTGCCGGCTGCAGAGCTCTCGCTAAACACTGGATCAATTTCAAAAATAGCTGTCTCCATTTGTCACTTAGACACAAAAACATGGAAAAATAGGGACCAGATTGAAAAATACAGAAGTTACTCTTTAAACTCAGACTCCAATAACTATACACAGTTCATTTCTGCAGATGAGACTTTAGGATTTGTCCGAATTTATGACATAATACTATATAAAACACTGTGATATGATCAACATGCTTGCAGGACAGGTGGATGACCAGGAAGCAGAGTCTTACCTTTCTGGTGCAGACCCTTCTTCTCATAGAGAATAATGAGCTCGCTGTATTTATGGGCCTTCTTCAGCACATACTCGCTCTCCTCGATGTGGCAGTGGTTGTTTTCTAGGCGAAGGAGGGGGGACACCAGGGCCACGTTGGTCTGAACGAGGGAGAGGATGAGAGCAGATTATAAAACATGCACACCACACATTTCCAAACTTTAATCAATTCACCTCTTTAATGCCCAGGTTGTGTTTCACCCAGGACATCAAGGGCAGGTAATTTCACTGATTAGTTCATCCTCTCTGCTTCACAGTGTGTTTATCATTTGAATAATCAGGTGCAGGTGTTGGCACTCCAAAGCTCATATTGTCTTTGAGGATCTCCAATCACTTCTATGTTATCCATCCAGTGTGATCAAGGTCTGCCCTTGGAGTTCCTCTGATTAAATCAAACTCATTACACCTCCAAAAGGAAGCACCTGGTGGCTTTTTCTTGGATGCCACATGAACTGGCTTGTGTAAACACAGAGGGGTGGCAGAAAGACTTTGAAGACTGTTTAGCTCCTTAAACAGCCAAACAATCCTGTGGAGAAACTCACTTTGGCTGCTTATATCTGTGATCTCATTCCTCCTTCCAACACACATTACTTTTGTTTTACCATAGATGAGGTTTGACACACAGATTGCCTGGTAAACTGAAGGTCTGGCTTTGTTACTCAGGCATCTACTTCCCTGAATCAAACACCAGGCCCACGTACATATAGCTGCTACACCTAGATGACTCTACTTTTAATGTGACTCCAAAGTAAATCTGCCAATGAGCTGCCTAACACAGAACCCATTTGACTACGTGTAAGGCAAAGTTAACTGCCTGGTGTTGCTGCCAATTTCTGTGGGTGCTTGGAATAACTTTCATGTGATAACATACCAATTTACTGAAAGTGGACGGTGAACCCTGCCAGATCTATTAGAGCCGATGTAAATATTCTCATGAAATATAAACATTTGGAATAGGTTCACCGACAGCTGCAGGTTGATCAAAACATATGACATGAGTCATGAGTGGCATTAATCTTCCACTCTACGGGGACGCTGGCGTCCTCTACCGTCATTAATGTTCTTCAGAGGCTATAGCTGGCTGAGGTTTAAAGCTAAAGTGAAGTTAGTGGTATCACATGAAACAGGAAGACATCACGTCATGCGAGCTTGTTGGGAAGGGGGTTAAATAATGCTCCTGAAAAAACTGGCATGGCCATTTTCACAGGTGAGTCTTGACCCCTCAGTTCAAGATGTCTGAATGAAAATGGGTTTTATGAGCACCCATGAGTCTCCCCTATACAGACCTGCACACTTTATGCTGATCCCATGCAGTTTTTTTTTTTTTGCATACTGGGATCCCTAAACAGTCTTGAAACTGCACATATTGGGTATGACTGGAAACCTGAGAGTCTTGTGGATTTATTGAGCCCAGTTTTATTAATTTGTGATGATGTTAGTTCCCATTGTAAGTCATTTCATTGTCATAAGACCTTCAGGGACCTCCAGGATAATCACAGCCTCCTGAAACTTTACAGCCACAAACAAGAGACCTCAGGCATTCAGAGGATGGATGGCTTTCATAGGTGTATTGACAATATGAGGGGTTCTTCACAGTTTCCAGAACAGAAGTGACTGCCATCCTATTGCCGAAAAATGCAATTCTTTCCTAAATCTCCAAATGTCAAAAGTTTTTGATGCCGAATCGCAGCATGGAATTTTCTATGGTGTTCATAAAGGTCTTGGTATCTTAATGTGGTATTATGGAGGGATTTTTGACCATTTTTGTCAAATCTCAAGCGGTGAAAAAATGGTATGAGCCAAAAAATAGCTGCAACAACTAACGAGAGATAATTGAGCATGGGAATGGTCATCATATACTTCCATTATGTTCTAAGCCCCTATGCACTCTAAACTTGAAAGGTTTATATAGGTGCCTAACCAAAACACAATGCCTATTACAGAAATATGACGAGAAAAACTTGACACAGTGCTGAAATTAATCTACAGGCTCCCAGCTTTCAGATGATATATACTTCTTCTATGTGGCATATACTGCTAACCTGCTATCTCACCCTAAATGTTTGGCCTGAAGTGTCTCCAACCGTTAAATTACAACAAGCATTAAAAAAGAAACGATCACGTGGGCCTTACATGCAGGTAACATTTCAGCAGGGTGGTGTCAATGATCTGCAGCAGTTTTTTGCGGCTCTTAATAGTAGGCGTGCCCTCCATGAGCGGAGATGTTGTTGAAGGGTCAGAGTCATTCAGCTGTTTCACAAGATGGCTGCGTTTCTGTGAGGAAAAGGAGAAAAAAATGTGCATTGTTTTTAGACATTTTAATGCCGAAATGTTACATATAATACCTTAAAACAGAGCCTCATTCAAAGCTTAAATCCTTTACAAGGTGGGATCTGGCCAAATGTATCACTTCTATAGATTTATACATCACACACACACATGCGCACACACACACACACCTGGGTGAGATAATCGATGAGAGCGAGATGAGCCTTCTCCAGCTCTGCCCCAGACAGAGTAGGCAGAGGGTTGGGATAGTGCAGCTGCTTGCGGTAGTCTGACGGGAGCAGGTCTGGGTACAGTCCGATCACATGGGTGGGATCTGCAGAGCACAGGAGGGGAAATTTGTCACACTGTATTCCATATATGACGCTTGAGTTTGTTTAGTAGCCTTTGATTCGGAGGGAAAAGTGATTTACGGACGTAATACCAACAGAAAACATTACTAAAACATATACCATAAAAAATCTTTTAGCTGAACAGACCTGAAATCAAAAGCTCATTAGAGCGAGGAAGTCTGTCATCATTATGGAATAAATCCTCACACACACAAGATGTGACCTCATCACATGTGAATAAAAACATTTCCATAAATATACACAATAAGCACCAGATGTCTAATGGGGGCAATAAAAGACAGAAAGAAAAGAAATAGGCAGAATAAATCATGACCAGATTCACCTTAAGTGGACTCCAAAGCATAAACATAGCTCATGACAGTAAGATGGGGGAGGTTGATCAGATGGGGACAAATCCAACCTGCTCGTCAAAGCTGACAGCAGTACAAAATATTTTGTAATATATTCCACATGTCTAAGCTACGGGCAGTTGTCCTATGTAGTACATAGCGGCCATGTGTTACAGGTTAAAGTGGAAATACACAAGTTTTGTGCTTTAACTTATCATTATGAAGTAAATGTTGATTGAACAATGTGATGGCTATAGAATAAAGATGCCATCTATGTTTAGATTGGTTCTCTATAAGCCTCACTCTCACTGTGCAATTGTGTCTGCCACCAGGTACCATCCCTCAGATAAATGAAGGCTTGATTTACGGCACAAGGGATGTGCGTCAACCATTGCACATCTAAAACAGGAAGAGGTTAGCACTTTTGTTTTCCCTGGGAGTTATCAGTAGCTATCCCTAGTTACCAAAGAGTATCAGGTAAGTTCTGTGCAGTTACTAGGGCTGCCCCCTAATAATTGACCAAATGTTAGTCGACCAGAAAGGTCATTAGTCGACAAGATTACATTGGTCACTTTGTCGTATGAGAAACAAACAAACAAACAAACATGAAACTCTATTAGGGGCTGCACCTTGTCAAAATAAATCAAAACCTATATGACTGGACCATGTGTGAATTTAATTTGAAAGGACAGACACAGGAAGTGTCCACGCTCAGCAGTCAGACAGGAGTCAGGTTAATTCCCAGGGCTGGTACCTGTGGTTATTCCACAGGCTAGTTAATAACATGTCGGGCAGGAAATCCAAAGTGTGGGATCATTTTGAGAAGGTGAAGGACGAACCCAAGGTGATATGTAAACTCATCTTCATTGGTCGACTACAAACATGACGTATCATCTGAAACATGGAAGTAGCTACATGCCCATTAGCCCACAGCGTCATTAACAGGCGGCTCGCTCAGTGTGTGATGTGCACTTGTAGATAAAATATAGGCCTATATTAATGAAGGTTCATTAGTACGGTTTTGTATTTCTCTGTAATGTAGCACAGTGTTAACAATGTTACTGATACTATTCTTTCTCACACCTTCTACTCAAACCACTGTGTTGCCCCACCCAAAATATATAAGTTAAGCAAAATGTTCTGAATGAAATAAAGTTCCCTCGAGTTATCAGTGATGCAGTTTATATGTCTTAAGCTTTTGTTGTGAAAGGTAAGAAAGGAAGGAGTGAAGCTGCAAGGTGCTGCCATCAACAATGTGGGAAGCAATGAAGAGTTTGTCGTCTTAGTGCAGACTATGGAGGCTCCTTGTTTTTACCAGACGTGGGTGCAAGAAATTGTTTTGCAAGTCACAAGTAAGCCTCTAGTCTTTGAACTCAAGTCCACATCACTGGTTATTAAATAACTACCCTCAAAAGTATAGATGCAACTCATAACCCTTGGCTACATTACTTTCCCCAGTAGGGCAAATGGCGGACAGGTGAACGACCGAAGTAACTGTGGAAACTGTGCTAGTTGCTGGGCTCTGATCCGGTTGTCTCTGCAACAGTGGTGTCAACAATAATACCACTTGGGTATGGGGGTAAAAAAGGTCTGTTTCCACTTAAAAAAACAACAACATTGCATCACATACAAACAGCTCAAAGTCTGACTCTGTCTTACAAATCTGGCCTGAACCGTCTGGGAACTTGTTGGGAGGAGAGACCTACCTGTGCCAAGCTTGGCAAACACCTGCATGGAGTCATCGAATCTCTTCTGACAAAACAGATTGAAGGCATAGAGATTCTGGATGTGATGTATCTGCTGCTTCTTATCACCATCTGAATCATCCTTCATCTTCTGGCAAAAATAAAAAGAATAGAAAAGCAAAAATTTCATTATGATACAGCAAAATGCCTTTGGGTTTATTCTCAGAATGCTCGCTTTCCAAGAATGTGAACCCCACATGAATGGCCTTTTTTATTCTTCAAAGAGCCCCTGGAAAGCTACAGTAGATAGCCAGATAAGCTGACAATAGAGCCATGAAAATTTTACTGTTTCAACGCACTGCTCCTAATCAAGATAAGTGATTTTAGTGTTCCATCCCCCGAGCTACAGCATCAATTGAATCTTAAGGAATTAATAAGAGAGTGGTTCTGCTGCTTACCGCCAGCTGCAGAGCCAGCTCGAACTGCTTGTCCTGAAGAAGCTGCCGTATCTGGCTGGCGATTGACACGGGCACCAGGCGCCACACAAAGTGATTGCTGGCAACATACACAATATTTTGCCTGTGAAAGATAAGAGGAGAAAACAAGATTAGAGAGAATAGGTTGGAACAAAAGTGTTTTCTTTCTAAGGAGGAACGGACATTATCAGTATCACTATCATGAGAAACAGAATCCAGGATGGGCACGATTAATCATGCATGATGCTCTTGTAAGGATGTTATGCACAGGACTCAGAGTGGTAGCTGTCAAATAAGACACCATTTATTATTAAATTTGTAACTTGAAGCCTGGAGTCTTGCAGTAGTTTCTGTAGGTTTGTTTTCACCTCAAAAATACTGCAGCAAAGATATCTGCTCATTTCTTTCTAATATTGTGAAAGTTTTCTTGTTTTAATGAGATTTTTTGCACATTATAATGAGATATTTTCATTTTTTATTTCATTATGGCATGCTTCTTGTTATCACATGCCAATTTTTACAAGAACATTTTCTTTTATTTATTTATTTATTTTACCTTTACTTAACCAGGAAGTCCCACTGAGATTGAAATTTTACAAGAGAGACCTGGCTGAGGTAGCAGCCAATCAAAACATAATACAAAAATCCAAAATAAAACAACAAATATTCAAACATAGTGGCCTCTCAGGGAAAAACAAGCACATGTCTCTGTCGCCACATTCTTTATGATGCCCTTAAATTCATCAATGGATTGTTCCATGTCCAAGGGGCAGAGTAGAAGAATGCAGGTTTCCCCAGATCTGTTAAAACCCAGGGTTCATTAAAAATCAACCACCTGGAGGAGCGTAGCTAGACTCACAAGTCAGTCTTTAGACGCTTTGCTTAACTAAAGACTGATGTCTTTCTCCCTGATTTTGTGTTTAGATGGGTGGATACAATTTCAGAGTTTACAAAAACTCCCTATGTTGCAGAACCAATAGCAAATCTGCAGGGCGGTCCTTTGGTGGCTCGCTGAACTCTTGTGCTCGTAAACATAGTCCGACTGCGTTAAAAGTTTTAAACAAAATCGCTGTAAGTCCTTCATTTCCACAATCTTGTGGACTGAGCACGTTTGATAAAACGGAGTTAAATCTCTCGGCATCCATTTTCAAGCTCTCTGTGTGTTTGTGTCCTTGCGGACGAGAAAAGGGGGAGCGCACATTTCCAGGAGGGGTGTACTTTTCAAAAATGCAAGAGGCGTTGCTTTGTTGCCGGCCGTTTTCTCCGGTGTGTTAAACACACTTTAGAAAGGAGTGTCCCCAGACTATCAGAAGGCGGAGATCTCTGATTGTCTTGTGGCGAGACTAGACCGTAGCTGGTAACTACCAGAGCTGACACACAGAAGGGTGCAGAGGTAGGCTGAAAGTTTGCCCAATACTGCTTTATAGATAAAAATATACCAGTGCTGTTGTCTGCAAGTGGTCACCAAATCATAAAGAATGCAGTGATGAGTAAGTGATTTTGCATTTGTTATAAAATGCAGAGATGCATGGTACACTAATCAAGGCTACGTAAATGGAGGTTGCATACATATACAATATGTCACTGTAATCAATCTCTCAGAAAAGTAGCTTCCACAAGTTTTCTCTTAGCACTCAAAGTAAAGCAGGACTTATTTCTAAAATAAAAGCCAGTCTTCACTTTAAGCTTCCTAACTAGAATAGCAATATGTATGTTAAATGAAAGCATGTCATCTATCCACATTCCTAAGTACAGAAGTGAAGATGCTAAAATCATCAAGAAACTGTGAGGGAGCTTTTGAGAAGACCATGAACTTAGTTTTCTGAGCATTTAAAGTAAATTTCAAACTCAAAAGAGCAGTCTGTAATAACTGAAATGAAGTCTGATATATTATAAAAACAAGAAATGTTTGTCATTATAACATGATAAGTTGTCATGATAGTAGTATAAGTTATGTTGCTGTAACATGACACTTCTATATGGTAACACACAATTCATTATTCTCACATTCTTTATGAGGTACAAAAATGCAGCCGACATGATGTAAAAGGTCGCACTTATAGATAAAAGTAAACACCTAACATCCACAAAATGTGTTTGTGCTTTAGTTTGGTCAGATTTAGGTATTCTAACTACATTTTGAAAGTGTGTATAGGTCCCTTTGCAAGGGGTAAGTTGCCTATCCTATACAGATTTCAGTTTACTGATGAGATCTTACCCTGCTGAGGTGATGAAGCGAGGTCTCTGCAGCTCCACGCTCTGCACCAGCAACCTCGGCTCAAAAGTCCGGATCTCCACGTACCGAGGGAGAACAGCTATGATGTACGGAGGCTGGTGTTCTGAGAACATTTCAAAAAAGACAAGTGTTAAAATCTGTGTGCTCATTGTTCAAAACCAAACTGCCACATGTATAAACGTCTTCAAATTGCTGAGGTGACGTTTTTAAATTGTTTTCTGGACTCCCATGTGAGCTTCTCTGGAAATACTAATTATAATTTCAAGAGATGCTCACAGCGACTTTATCTTCTTAGGAAACTCAGTGGCCTTGGTGTTAGTCAGCAGGTTTAGAATGAGTGTACAAGACTATGGTTGAGAGTGTTTTAGTTTTTCATCTTCCTACCTGGTTGAGTCATCTTCACTGTACATCCAAGAACAAACTCTCTAGGACTGTGACAATGTCAAATAAAATTGTTGGCAAGCCACAAAAGCCAAAGGACAAAGAGGAAAGCGAGGCATATCTTGGCAGATAGCCCCCATCCTCTCTTCAGCCAGTCTGAGCTCTTGAATTCGGGGAGTTGTTATAGAGTCCCTGCGGCAACCAAAAATGTATTCAAGAAGTCTGTCATCCCCACTGCCATCAGTATCCTTCACTCAACAAAATGACTACACACAATGAGCTGATTTAATGTGCTTAAGTGTTTTGTAATGACTTTATTTGCTTGTCCTACTGATTATTTGCTTTTTTTCAGTGTTGTCTTTTGTGTTTGGTGAGCTGAAGACAAATTCCCGCCCCTTACTTTTCTGTCGATCTAGTCATCAGTTAAAAGACTTTATTGTTTCAGCTCTACTACCAATTGCATGTTTGATGTCCTTCCAACCTAAACTCTCTGTCTTGAGAAAAGGTGCCTCAGTTGTGACTATGGAGAGGAGACCTTGAGGCTAATGGGGCAGGAAATCCAGCAGGAGACAGCCATCTAAACCAGCATGAGGTTGGACTCTAGATTTGGGATGGACTGCGCCCACAGGGCAGAGCCAAGGTCCTCTGCTCCAGCCACGAACAGCTAGGACGGTCAGTTAGATGCATTTTAAACTGACCAGCACTCATCCTGTGCTGGTGCATGCCAAAGCCTCAATGTTGACCATATCAAAACAAGGAAATTGCAAACTGTATGAAACCACCGCTTGGAGGCTTCATTTCCCCTTCATATTGTTCCTGTCTGCATTCTGATGAGCACAGAAAGAGGAGCCTTTCAGACGACGCGAGAGCTCATCTGCATCGCTTCTGTCACAAAGCTCATTAGTAACCCAGATCTGCTGTGTCTTAGTCACGGGGTAAAATATCTAAAATTATATCCTCTTTTGACATGTGGAAAACAGCAGCACAGCTCAGACGGAGTGGAAAGAAAGAGTCTGGGGAGGGGAAGGAAAGCTTGAGGAAGAGGAAAGAAGAGACAGACAGCAGATGACAATGGCAATATTTAGGCCAAGTGCTTCGTCAGGTGTTGAGCAGGTTTGATCACATTGCAGTTACTGGATATTAAAACGATTTGTGTGACAAGACGAGAACAAACTGTACTATTACAGGCACAGGCAGAGTCAACATACAGTACACAAGTCGTTTAAATCAAATAGCAGTATAATGAAGACTTCGCACAGACACAGTGAGCTTCATATAATTCAACAGATTGACACATGATCAACAGAACGGAACTGAAACTTCTATCAAATGATGGTAAAAGAGGAAGGTTCGCCTCAGATTATTCTCACACTCGTGCTCAAACAGTTTCAATTGTGATATTTTAGGCGGTGACTGTGACAAAAACCAGCATGTGTCCTGAAAAGGGTACATTTTACACCATTCACTGTAATCAACCACCATAACTGAGCTCTCCACAGCAGCTTGTTTTCCATGCTGATGTGCCAAAATGCTGAAAACCTGTTTCTCCTTATGGTGTTTCCTCGTTTCATCATTGAGGTTTTTCTCTTTCCAGTGCAGAAGGGTTATTATCATAGGCATCTGGCAAAGTGGCACACAGTGCAGCGCAACTGTCACTGCTAGTTTCATTCTGATGCAGGTGTCATTTCATGGCCAGCGCCCACATTGTGTAAGTAGCTTGTGCCCATCTGTGCGCAAATGGGCGTGTAGGTCTTACAATGAGGCGTGGGCAGGCACTTGTTGGTGTGTTGATATATTGAGGCAGCAGAAAACGCTTGTGACATTGACCAACAGGAACCTGGTTTTACGTCAGAATGGCACAGTGTTTTCCTGCTGTTTAAAGGGCTCATTATTAAGGCAGTAAGATGTACCTATATAGACGTGTTCACAAAGTACACACACAGTAGTTTCGTGGCCAGACCTTACTTCACAGTGCTGTGTGAGTGCTAGAGAAAGGTCTGGAATCCCTGATTTTCTCTCTGCTATCGGAGGAAAAAAACACTCTGGCTTGTTTTTGTTTCTTTAAACCAATCACAGTCGTGTTGGGCCGCACTCAGGATGCAGCAACAGTGCTCTTGCAAAAGAAAACGCCACAAAAAACATTAACAGCCGCATATCATTGTGTAATTCAACATTAATTGATGTAAAAGACAAACATAATTTAATAATCGTGTAAAGAAAAAAAAAACACATATGTTGCGGCTTCATCAGGCTCATGATGAAGCTGCAAGCGAAACGCGTTGCTCTATTAAATCCTTGATCCTCTTTCAAAGTCCTGTCTGGTGTGCGGTATGTAGCCACAACATATGTGTTTTTTTTCTTTACACGTTTATACTTTTGCCACAGTACCAGCACCTTGATTTCGGCTGTGCACGGGCATTTTTCTATTTTTGATAATTTAATAATCTTAGAGGTGAAGCCTGACTAAAGCTCTGGAGGAACTCACTGGACCTGTTAAAACCACAGATGATTTGCTAGCTGTGTGTGGTTCCAGCAGAACATTATTACAGTGATGTCACAGGACCTCGTGTGAAGTGGAACAGATCTGTACATTTGTGAAGTCACTGTCACTGGCGCACGCTGCCGCCAGAGTCAAAAAGAAGTTGGCAAATCACCTCTGACTGGCCGTGTTAGAAAACGGATCAACATCGAGGGCACAAGAATCCTGTGTGAGTCTGGGCTTTTCCGAGGTGCATTCAGAAGTCGTTTTATTCACTGTAGATCTTAACAACATTCCACCGAAACAACAAAGAAAGCATGCCTTACTGCACTATCCAAGTCTCCATCAAAACTTGCCAGTTTTAGCTTTAGGCTGTAAGCTCGGAGGTTGTTGTTTCCCGTAGCAAAGAGGATCTGGAAACGGTAACATGTAGATAGTGGAGGGAAAAGAGAATGCCTGCCAGTTTATTTCTGTTTCTTCTGTCAGGTTTATAACTACAGTTCTTTGTTCTGCTGCTTTTAATATCGCACCATATTTTCTGCTGTGACATCAGTGCTCCTACTGCATAACTCTCAGCAGCTTCTCCAATTTACTGCATCGATCATGGAAACAGCAATATGTCAGCTGCAGGTGCATCAGGGTTTTCAAGGCAATGGGGGAAAAACACTCTTACTTTGCGCCCAGATTTTGCGCCGTTCAGCAAAAGTGGAGTTGGACACTATGCACTTTAGACCATGTGATATAGATCGTTTAAACAAGGCCCATCGTCTTCAGCAATTCAATACCTGCGTACTGTAGATACAGATAAACTCTAATAAAATATGTCTGTTAATGTGTGAAGGTTTTACTATTCAGAAAGTGTGTTAAGAAAAGAAAACAAGAAAAATAAAAAGTAACATGATTTTGTTTTTCCTTGAGTGAAATCGACTGGCAGGGGGTGACACATTTTGGCAAAACATCTTTTGTATTATCTGGCAGACCAACCCACTTAGAGAGCTGAGGAAGGATTTTTGGCTCTTGTATCTCAGCATGTGTGTGTCCTTTTGACTTTGCTGTCAGTTCCTATCAATATCGAATGCAAGTTAACTCCAGCAGAGACATCGGGAGTCATTAAAACAATAGAAGCAGCGACTTGGGCTGGGTATATAGTTGCTTGTTTTACATAAAAGTAGAAATAGAACAGCAGAAACAGTGAATATGAAAATGTCTCTGTCTTACCCATAGCTATAGGGATGTCTGTCCAGTTCAGGGCACATTTCTGGGTGCAAATGCCTTCTTCATTTAGCACTACGGTTAAGTCATCCTGGCCAACAGCCACCTTCCCATCAGCCAGCGGTGCAACCAAAGGCTCCAACTGTTTCCCTGTGGGGAAAAGCTCCTTGATGGAGCCACGGCCATCCATCTGATTGACAGGGAGACGGTTTGAGTGAGCCAGAAGAATCTATTAAAAACATCTTACAAACTTCACCTACAAGGTCATTTATGCAGTGCGTTAGACAAACAATAAAACAACTTTAAAGAGAAGCTGATTAGACTGGCAATAACACTACCAAACATTAGTTCATAATAAAAATAACAGGAGAAAGTGAGAAGCCCAAAATAAACACAAATTCAAGGACAACAAAACAGATGGGAACTAATTATACAACAGCCTGCTTCCAAACTTTTAAGAAGTGGTATAAAAAGATGATTTTAATAGAGCACTTCAACCGCAAAGTGATCATTTGTATATCAATTACTCAGCGCCTGTTACCTTGAAATTGTGAGGATAATTTTGTTTTTCTCCTCTGCCCCCTCGGTGAACACAGAATCCAAAAAAGGCGAACGTTCTTCATGTATTAAAATAATCAGAGTCCACAACAGCAAAACTTTATCAAAACATCCACTCACAAACTCTCACACAACTCATACAATATAATCTAAGTCTAATTTATCCAGCTGTACGCTCAGTACTTCCCAGAAGACACACACTTTCTCTGTAACACTGAAATGTAAAAGACTTCTGCCTATGAGCAGCATGCCAAGTAGCCATGCATGAGACCGTTCGTAGTGAGCTGTTTAAAATCTGTTTTAGCAAAACGGCATATGTTTGGGAAGCACTGAGCATGTGACTGGATAAATGAGATGTGGATTATATGGCACGGCTTGTTTGAGAATTTATGAACAGATGTTTTGATATAGTTTTGCTGTTGTTCAATGAGGTCCCAATTTACTTTTAGCGTTTTTTTGGATTCTTCATTCACCGTGGAGGCATGTGAGAAAAACAAAGTTTACCTCTCGAGTTAAAGGTAACATGTGGTTAGTAACTGTGATACAAGTGGTCCTTTTTTGGGTTCTCCTTTAACCGTTTGAAACCTGAAGTGAAATCACTTTTCTTGTGCTGCTTTAAGTTGCCTTTCGCAAGTATTTAAACCTTTGAACCCTCGAAAAATGGTGCAATTTCTTAAAAAAAGAAAATTATTTTAAAAAAGAATAGAAAAAACTTCATAATTATTACTATTATTATTATTATTATTAGTAGTAGTAGTAGTAGTAGTAGTAGTATTGTTACATTTTAAAATTAAGTTAGAAAATTATTGTTGTTTTTAAGTACTCTTTGACTCCAGGTCATTTCCTGTGTTGTTGTTGTTTTTTTAACTAATTTTCTTGTTTTTAATTTTCCTACTTTTTATGAATTTTCTTAATTTTCCTATTTTATTTTATTTTTTTTACTAATTTCCTTGTTTTTAATTTCCCTTTTTTTAACTAATTTTCTTGTTTTTAATTTTTCTATTATTACTAATTTTCTTGTTTTTAATTTTCCTATTATTACTAATTTTCTTGTTTTTTAATTTTCTCTCTTTCTCTTTCTCTCTTTTTTTTAAACTTACTTTTGGGGGTTATCTTTCATTGCTCATTGCCTTCATCACATGTTTTTAAAAGAAATCCTGCCAATTTGCAAAGATTAAAGTGATAGTACTTTCAAAACCTGTCTGAATGGTCCCTGCAAAATGTTTGTAATTTCATTCTTCACAGAGAATAAAAGATTCAAGCCAGTTCATGCAAGAGTCATGACAGAGTCAAGTCTGTTCCCAAAGGCTGCACATGAACGACAGAAGACTTATTTTTTGTTTTGAGCAATATTCTGGAAATAATATGATGGTTAAGAACAAACTGAGCGTACAGATGAGCTGTAGAGAAGTGAATTAAGCTGCTGGAGTGGTTTAAGTGGTTTCTCTGGATGTTTTGATACTTTAAAACCCACTCTCACCACTAAAGAACACACTACAACCCTTTCACAGCCTTCTTGGATGTCTAAGAGAGACTCTGTGGGATGAGTTTTTTATATTGAAAGGATTATGGGTAGAGTTAAGTTGCAGGTTGCTACAGATAAGAGAAGCTGAGTGTAAAAAGCTTGGTGTTATCCTTTCATGTAACACATACCCGAATGAGGTAATAGTCTCGTTTGAAACCGACACATATGGAGTTTTCACACCAAGCCATGGACTTTGGAATATCTGGTGCACCAAAGTCCCCCTGACAGACAAAAAGAAAACATTAAGATGATTAAATGTGTCAATGGATGGGTAAAAAAACAAACCTCTAAACTTGGATCATACTGCAGTGAGTCACACGAGCTCAAATAGACTTTATTTTACCTGCAGCTCGTGGAACTCTCTGTCCTTCCAGTAATACAGCTGGAGTTTCTTCTTCACTGCAACACACATTCTCAGCCTTTCCTCTCCTGTGCTGGTTTGCTGAGGACACAAGAGACAGAATATACAAGTCAGGACTTTAAATCAGGGAAAATATGAGTACAACAAAAAATATAGACACAAAAGGCGGGAAAAAAAATCATAGTTATGACTGTCTTTGACTGTGCCATAAGATTGTGTGGGAACTGTACCAGTTTTTTTTTTTTTTGGTGTTTTAGTGCTGAACATTTTTAAAACGTACTACTGTATTGACGTCTTAATGTCTCTTCCTTTCTGCAGTGTGCTGAGTCAGCTGAGGAAAAGCAAATCTAAATGTTATGGGATTGTACCTACTCTTATGCCTCCTCTTTATTTGCTTTTGTTAATTCAAGCGCTACTAAAGCATTATTAAAATGTTCAACATGATGTATTTCCTATCTTAATCCTTTAAGTCTCTTTTTTTCTAACTGCACTGAAATTAATTATGAAGAAAAGGCTGAATGGAATGTAGAAAATGTACATTAAATGGGCTGAAAGACAACAGTGAGCTCCAGGAAACAGTCTGCATTATTATTAACACTGTAATAAGTAATATATACTGGACATAAGCTGTAGTAAATCTGTCTAGACATGCAAAAGTGAAACAAACACATTTGATCCTTCTTGTGCCCAGATCTAGAAAAACACGACTATCTATATGGTTTTCCTTGCAGCCAATCGTAGCAAGTGATCTTCAGTTTAATACAGCATGTGATTTGCCGCCTACAGCAGCAGCTGAGGAGAAGTCGAGCATGGTGTATTTGACAGAGTTGGCATGTCAACGTGTTGAGATGCCACCAAATGTTACAGAGTATGACTGCACTGCACGTCTTGTGATATTCATGGACAGGATCACAAGGTGCAGCCAGGGTTAAGAAAGGGTCCGGTTTGATGACCTCAGAATTGCAACTCTGGTTTTCACAGTGTGATGTGGTTCTGTTGGCTTCATCACACCGTGACCTCCAGCATGCACTGGGGCGGGTGGCAGCCGAGTGTGAAGTGGTCGGGATGAGAGTCAGCACCTCCAAATGTGAGGCCATGGAGAGTTACTGCCTCAAGCAAGGGAGTTCAAGTATCTCAGGTCTTGTTCGCGAGTGAGGGTAGAATGGAGCGTGAGATGGATTGGCGGTTTGGTGCGGCGTCTGCAGTGATGCGGGCACTGTGCCGCGGTGAAGAGAGAGCTGAGCTGGAAGGCAAAGCTTTCGATTTACTAGTCCATCTACGTCCCAACCCTCACCTATGGTCATGAGCTCTGGGTAGTGACCGAAAGAATGAGATTGCGGATACAAGCAGCTGAAATGAACTTTTGACTCCGTGGCGTGGCTGGGCTCAGCCTTAGAGATAGGGTAAGGAGCGCAGACATCGTACAGAGACATCAGACATCAGGACTGCTGCTCCTGCGCGTCGAAAGGGGTCAGTTGAGGTGGCATCTGATCAGGACGCCTCCTGGATGCCTCCCGTTGGAGGTCGGGCATGTCCCTCTGGTAGGAGGCCCCGGGGCAGACCCAGAACACACTGGAGGGATTAATATCTCATCTGGCCTGGGAACACCTTGTCTGTTGTGGATTGTACCAACAGTTTTATTCTGAAAATGTTGGCGTGCAACCCCCGTTTTGTGGACGATCAATAAGGTGCAGATATTCCTCTGTATCGCCCGTGAAGAAGAAATAAAGAAAAAGCTGAATAGAGCAGTGATTGACAACAACCCCGCCTACATTTAAGAGTACTATCTGTACTCTGAAGTACAGTGAAAATGAAAGATGTAGGGTTTAGGTACATGTCTGTACAGGTTACACGCTGGTTCTACAGGTACTGTACTGAAAATTTTTGATGGAAACACAGCTTTAAGGGTACTGGTATCATAACTTCTTTAATGATGCCCTGCCTAATGACTGTAGTACTGTATATACCGCACAAGTGAAAATGCTCTCACTTTAAAGATTTAGAACGGGAAGCAATACAAATACATGAGTATGAGTGCAGCAGTATACAGTTAAACACGTCTGACTGTAACTGACCTGCAGGTCACAGGCGAAGAGCGTGGCTCCTTTGGCTTTGGACACCACAGTGATCTGCTGGAAGGTCAGGAGGTCATGGACGTGGATGTTGTTCTCTGCCAGAGAAAAGAGATTACTCTATGTCTGATAAGATAATGAAGATGAATGTTGTGCTTTGACACAAAAAGAACTGCAGTTTCAAAGGTGGAACGGTTCAACAATAAACAGATGAAGACTAACAAGCAAGATGTTTTATATTGGAATAATTTAAATATTAGGGAAACTTACCAAGAAGACTGACAAGAATTTTGTACTGTGAGACGACATAAAGCTGTAGAGAGAGAGTAAGAAACACAAATCAAATAAGGTTTTAGCAAAATCTTCATCTTGATGCAGCAAAATTTTTCATCTCTATACATGATTTATTTTTTTTCATACTGTGTGACTAATTTTACTTCCATTATCTTTTATTAATACAGCAGTAGTGAGTTAGAATGTAAAAAAGATGCACGTTTACATCTGCTACGTTTCACCATCCAATTGGTTCAGTCATAATGAACACACAGCCTGGTCTTACAAAATTGTTAAAGGTGATCACGATGTCGAGACTTCGGTTTTAAATTTCTGATTACTGACTTTTCTGCATCCGGACATAATCTTCCAAGAGAGAACTGCAATGCAATTTAAGAATAGATTTTTTTCCCCACCCCTCCTTTTCCTGGGGTTCTTGTCACTATTGGTAGGCATGAGATGTCTCCCAGAGTACACACCAGAGAGATCATCAAATAAAGGTCAACTCATTGTACCTAAAATCAACTCTGAATCAGCTCATGGTGCTTTTAGTCATTATGGTCCTTCTCTCTGGATTTCTCCCCCACATCAACTCTTTGTCATCACAAGCTTTTACTGAGGTTTGTAAATGTATTTTTTATTTGTTTTAGGAATAAGTATTACTATTGTTATGATCGCCCCTTTTTAAAGAATAATGATAATAATACCTTCTTTTTTTTGTTAGTTTTTATCATGTCCTGCTTGTTTTTATATATGTAATACTTAATTATCTTATATAATATTTTATGTTTGTAATTTATGATGCATCTTAAGAACACTGACTTTACGCTTGACATATGAAATGTGCTATATAAATAGAGCTGACTTGACTTGAATTTGGAGGTTGATCTGAGCCATCTCAGTCACATCAATAGTGTTTGAAACTCCCAAATGCATTCCTTAAGAGTGAGTTATCCATTAGCAGCTGAGAGTTAAATTTAAAGTGAAGTGAGGCATGTGTTTGCTGTCAGACTTTCCTACCAATTAAGATATACTATGCAGGATCTTCCTAAAACAATGTATAGACTCATACAGAAGTCTGAACCATCACTTATGACCCCCTTTTAGAGTGTGGCGGTGTATTGTTTTGCAGAGACACTGCCTTCTGCCTGTATTTTATTACCGGATGTTTATGGGCGGGTACCCTCACTGTGCTCAGGTGAGGTCAGAGCTTTATAAAAACACAGCGAACAGGTGCCAGGCCATAAGTGGCAGGCATCCAAGAGACACAGCGCTGAAAAAAAAAATCTAATATAGCTAGGCGAAATGCCAACTACCAGTGAATCTGTTGGGTTTTTTTTAAGATTATTTTTGGCCTTATATTACCTTTATTATAGTGCAGCTAGCACACTGCTGCAAAGAAATCAGCCTTCATGAGGTGGACGCTACTCGCTGAGCTAGAGGCCGTCCCGGGTTGGCTTTGACTTTTTCTTTTGCTGGTGGTGAGCATGTTTACAAACAGTAACTGACAATCCTGCATAGTTCACTTTTAACACTCACGTAATAATACAGCATGTGGTCCTAAAAATCTCTAAGTATTTGACTTGTGACTTCCCTCACCAAACTTCAAAGGCTTCTTCCAAACAGGATTTTTGATTTCTCATCATCATAATCTCACCCTGCACTCTTATTTACCTGCTGTATCTTCTTTGAGAAGTTCTTATTGGACTTTTCCAGTGTCACCTCGAACCGGTTGGTGCCTAAAGACAAAACAGACATCAACTTTAATTTTAAAGGAGGCAACATCATGTTGAGATGGTCTGCAAATACACAAGGGGCCATCACAAATCTCTTAGACCCTTCCTACCCGCATCCTTCTTTATTCTGTAGAGCAGAAGGTGCCCTGGCTTTGTCCCCACAAGCAGCCAGTCCTCTGTGGGGAAACAAAACTCAGTCGTCAGTGGTGACACAATCCATCACTTCACCTGAGACTGCAGAGGCACCACTTCAATGTCACACAATAAAAGAGCAGTAATAGGATACATTAAGTGTCAACAACTCACCCCAGGCCGCGAGACAGTCGATCTGCAGAGGAAGCTTCTCCAAAATAGGCACTGGTTCATACGCGTCATGCATCTTGGAGCTGTGTTTCTGATTCAATTACACACCGCTCTGATGGATCGATCCCACACGGGAGGTGACGCCTGCCCTGCCGGGACAACAGCTGACTGACCGGCCGCTGATTAGTCTGTCAGGGTGATACGCCTCTATGGGTCGCCATCAACCGAAGGAGCAGTTCAGTACTTGAACAGGAAGTGAGGGAAGATGTTTTGAAGCGCTGTAATGCAATGCAGTTTGACTTGTTAGCCAGCTATCCCTCCGACCAAAACAACAGCTGATCGTTAGCCTGTTAGCTTAGAAGTTAGCAAGCAGCGGCTACAGCTCCTAAACATCGTCCCCTCTCACTCCACACCGACTGTAACCCGAACAGAGGCTGTCCGTTACTCTGACGGTAACAACCGACACAACCTTTAGTTAACTTAATACCGTTAGGAAGCGCTGTGTTAGCTGCAGCAGTTAGTTCTCGTTAGCTTCTTGTCACTTCCTCAGTTGTGTGTTGACGACGGCTGCGCGAGCGACTGAGGTTTGACAGGCACGTGACAGGAGTCAGCGCACTCACGAGGAATGTATTAAAGGAGCAGTGACACAATTTGTACTCACAGCTACATCTTTATTTTTCTCATTCTTTATTTCTTTAATTTTCTATTTTCTTTATTTTTTATTATTTGGATGATGGGGTACGAACTGCTCTACATTTTTTCATATCTATCTATCTATCTATCTATCTATCTATCTATCTATCCATTTAAATTTAATGCTGTTTTAAGACCTTTTCTTACAAATTTTTGGACAAATCATATTTTTGATGATGTTTATGCACAGGAGCTTGACTCATGTTGACAAAAAAGAATAAAAAGATGGGTAAATTATATAATAAACAAAATGTTAGTGGCAATTAATACCTCATACATTCAAATTTAAGCCTATTTTTATTACTTTAAAGGCCTCATATTTGAAAAACATAATTTAAGACATTTTTAAGGACCCATAGACACCTTGATCTATCCATCCATCCATCCATCCATCCATCTATTTTTTCACATCTATGTGTTAAAAATGCTACAAAATAATTTCAAAATTGGAAATCTTAGAGGATATATTTATTCGCTTATTTTGAATTATAATAACACAAAATTATAAGTTTTAATCAAAGAAAAAAAGGAGTTTACACCAATAAATATATAAGGTTATTATCTATTTATTACACTTCTGCTGTTCAGTTTTTAAAAATGGTTTAATTTTCAGAAAGCACTAAAGTGCATAAAGGCCGTAATAATAATAATAATAATATTATTATTTTAGCAATTTAATGTTGCCATTCCTTGTTTGTGATGGTTATGTTGTATAGTATAATATATACTGACATACACTGTTGTACAGTAAAGGGTTAAAGCACTAAAACTGCAGTCTAAAAGTTTCATTAGTATTCTGTTGCTAGGGCAACACCTTTGGTCAGTGTATTTCCTGTGTCACCTGTAATGGATGCATGTACATTTGTGTGTGTGTACTTGAATTTCTATGTTTCCTACCTTCATGTGAAGCAATTTGTAACTGTATACTTTAAATAGTGCTATATAAATAAATTAATATTATTAATTAACAAACATTGCAACAGGAAATACAAAGAGGCCAATTTAGGATGTCTATGTTAAATTAGTAGAGGACTAGAGGTCTATGCAACAGTTCCTTTTGTAAAAAGATGATACGCTCAGTAATAGGCACCTAAATAATGTAATATATATTCTATTGCATGTTTAGAGAAAAATGGTCCATTGACATATGGTATAAACCAAAACTATGAACTTATTGTCTCATAAAGAACAGCTACAGAGTGGAACCTTACGTCAAGTATAATCTTAACAAAAGACAAAGATCCCTGTGTGCACAGTTGCACTCAGGAACGTCACCATTAGCCTTAGAGACTGGAAGGTTTAACGCCACCCCAGAGGAGGACAGAATTTGTTTGTTGTGTCATTTAGGTGAAGTTGAGAATGAGTTTCACTTCTTGTTTTACTGTCCTGTATATGAAGACATAAGGAATATACTTTTCAGTAAGATGACCTCTATCTATGTAAATTTTTTCTTGGCTGGATGATGATGAAAAATTTGAGTTTTGTTTCAGAAGGGGAACCATTTTGTGGCTGGATTTCTTTGCCAGGCCTGAGATAGAAGGCACAGTATTCTGTTTTTGGACTGAGTAGTTAAATAACATGTATTTTTGATTGCTACTGCAATGTAATTGTAATGGTGTCTTGTGAACCCATGAGGGCTGGACACATGTAAGTGTGCATGACACAAATAAAAATCAATCAATCCATCATAATACGAACATTTGTCCTGCATACATACACACACACAAAAACTGACATTGTAACCGTGTTTCAATATAAATTTTATTTGCAGGACATACGCAAAAAGCCATACAATATCATCAGCTTCACATTACAATACACATCCAGAAATTGGGCCTTCGTGTCTCTCTAAAATAAAACATCCTCAACAAGACTTGGACAAATATATATTTAAAAAAAAAAACATAAATTAAAGAATTTAGAATATCCACACATACTGCAGTAGATTGCACAAGGACGGGGATATAGTCTGCCACCTGAGGCAAGATTATTTGCAGTGTGAATGGGATAAGCTCAAAGGAATCTGTAACTGCAGTGACATGAAAATCCTTCATTTAGCGTGTGCCGTATTGTATTATATTTTTTAAACTACATGTGCTACTGAATTTCGGTGAGGACTTTAACACAAAACTCTGGCCAAGTTAGTGGACGGGGAGTGAGAGAGGGTTACATACATACAGTGAATCACGTGTTCTTAAAATTAGGCCCACACCACATACATGAGGCTTATCAAAGGATTCTGTGTTCAGCAGCTAAAACGTGATGTGGACCTAAATCACTGCTGCTTATGTGAGAAGCTACAAAATGTTACTGTTTATAGAGATGAAAATAAACATCCTTACTTGTAGAGTCATGACTATTTTTGCTTTAAAGGGCCAGTGTGTAATATTTGGCATGGTTTATTGTCAATCTGAATCTGAATATTCTACCCATTAATATGTTTATACAAGTGTATAATCGCTATAAAATAAAATTCGTTTGGTTTTCGTAGCCTTATAATTATGCTTTTATATATATATATATAGCAAGGGCCTTGCTTTAGAGAGGTTGCCATCTTGCGCCGCCATGTATGTACGGCAGACCGAGCGGACAATCCAGCCAGCCAGAGAACGCGTTTCGCGTGTATAAATGAACCAACGAAGACAGCGGAAGGAAGGAAGAAGGAGGAGGAAACATCAGAGAGTCTTAGTAGTTCGTCGATGGAGAGTAGTGAAAAGTTTTTTTAGTTATAAAGTTTGCGAATGGACCACACTTACCACGCAACAGGAGAGAATGAACCCGAACCGTCATCTGCAAGGAAAAGAAGACGCAACTTCACTCCTTGTGATGCACTCTCTGCGGCGCTTTTCCTCCTGATGATATATCTCCCCAACGCTGGCAGCAGTAGCACCGAATCCCATTCTGTGCATTCAGCCTCTCTTCTCGCCCGCTCAGCATCAAACACATGGAGTTCCTCATCTGTATGCTCCGGCTCAAACAGGTATGGCTCTGGGTCTGTGTCCGCTACAAGAAACTCTTCAAAATCGCGTTCAAAGTCGTCCATTGCAGCTACTATAGTCCGGAGATATTGCTAGGCTAAATAAACAGCTGAGCTCTGTTTACCTGCTACACTGTCAGTCAGTGTGTGGGCTGGAGTTTGGTGGAGCAGAGAGGGGAGGGGGGTCCCCACTTGGTATGGTAAACGAGTAGGTCTGTGTGTATGAAGTGTGTGTGTTACGCTAGAAGAGTCAGAGTTTGGGACGGAGTCTTTTACCCCCTGGAGTGTTACTGGAGTTTTTGGAGTGCTCAAATAAACTGTCCTTTTTCCCGAACGCTCCTCTGGTCTCCTGCTCGTGAGGGATTCATTATAATATCGTAACATGGTTTAGATTTCTAAATAAATATTCACCTCCTCACTAGATAGACCTACTCCTGAAAAACTCGTGTGCAAGGCGTTTTGTCCCTACGAGGCCGCCGTCATTTACCCGACGGGAGGTGAGAGTGAGTGAGCCCTGCAATCTAGAATTTGACCACTGATGTCACTGTTTTCAACCCATTTTACACACTGGCCCTTTAAAACTGGCCTGTTTTTATAATAAGAATCAAACGTTTTCCCTCCTCGCTGAGGGCCGAGCAGCTTTTCATCGTTACTAAAAGCTTCAAAATCAGCAATACAAGAGTCTTACTTTCAGTTGTTTGAACTGTTCTGTGTTAAGATGATATCTCAGAGAAGTGATCTCGTGTAACGCTTGAGCGTGAACACTTCTGATGACACTGTGTGGTTATGGTAGTATACACTTGGCTTTGAACAAGTTTCATGACCAACAGGGTCATGATTACATTCTCCCACCTCACAAACAGTGTGTTCCAGTTAACACTAGAATCCCCAAAACACAAATGTCGCACACTTCACCCTGACAACTGTGATATGCTTCAAGTATCAATATTCACTGATGCGGCTGTGTTTACATAGAGTAACAGTAACTTTTTTAATTCTATATTTAGGATAACTCAGTTAGCCAGACAACAAAGTGTTAGTTATGTGTTCACAATAAAACTAATACTCAACATTTGTTGGTGCAGCTGTGAGAAATTATCTTCACTTTTTTAATTCTCTGGCTAAATGGTTAATCATACCATACAGTTGCTTATTTAAATATTAAATGTACGTCATCATGTGACCTATTAAATATGTAATGCAATAAAAACACCTGCATTTTTTTTTACATTAGGTTATGGCAAAGAACATCTCTGAAGATAACTTCAAGTTCAAGTGTCCGATGCTGTGTTGGCTTAAATATTATCTTATTATGCACAATAACTTGAGCATTTATTTTCCCCTTCATTCATACACTCATCTAATTTCTTGGCTGAAACAACCGCCACATAATAATCATAATTCGTACCTTAACGGATTTGAAATCAGCCCTCACAGTCCAACAGATTTGGGTGCTTGGGTCGCTTTTGCAGTGTAAAGCGGGCAGAGAAACTCCAATCTTAAATATTGTATTAGTCTAAAACTAAAAGGCATAATTTTGATAAATATTCTATCTACCACAAGGGTTTTATGTTAAATGCCCATGTTCTGCTTCATTTTGGCCAAGTTTGTGACACTGCACAAATATCTTTGAAACAAATAAATAAACAAGTGTTCTGCTGTGTAATCGCTCCAGTTTCACCCCCTCCCAGAGTGCTGATCTCAACATTACCAGCATGCAGCTACGGACTGCACAGTACTCCCTTGATACAAACACATTATTTGTGCTTCTACCTTACTGAGCTTACAATACCTGTGAAATTAAATAAAAAATGTAAAGTGTCTGGAGAGAACAAGTTGGCTTTGCCCACATTTTTTTGGTACTCAGATCACTCAGAACGCATTCATTGCTGCCTCAGTGACATTGCTTTCTTCCCATTCTCACACCGTCTTCCTGCATTTGCTCCTACTCCATTTTGGATCTCTCCATCTTGGTTTTGAGGATTTCCTGGAAAAATAAGAGAGCACAGATTAACGTATGCACAGTAATGTGATTGTGTATTGGTAGCACAGTGAAGGTCATTACCGGGAGCATTTTAAACAGACAGAAATGTGATCTGAAATCATGGGACTAGCAGCGAGAAAGTGAAAGGATGCCTTACCTCTTCTTCATCCAGTATCACAGGGAGAGCTCTGTATAGAGAGGAAAAAGCAGAGAAGGAGGCAGTGAATGCATTCATACAGCCAAGATGTGAGTTTGTGCGTCTGGAGTATTAACAGTATAAGTTTCTAGTCTGAGCTGTCCTTGATCATGACCTGTAAGCTACATTAATACACTTACATAAACTGAGACAATATGACACACTAAGAAGGATTACTGTTATAAGCCGATACCTTATTCTCACATATTCCAGGTGGCGTAACACTGGATGTTCTTAGCAAAACACTGTAATGTGAAACCATTCGAAGGTCTTTCAAGACAGCTTTGAGCTTACAGAGACTCTTTAGACCTGGTAGAAGTGTCAGCAACCACCACAGATGCATTGTGATCTGATCACTCAAACCACTCGCCATGGTGGTCTGGGAGGCATTTGACAACATATCTTCTATGATGTAAATGCTCACATTAATCCTCCGTCACTGACCAAGAGCAAAGATGCCTGGGAACAAGACCTGATAATGACTATCCCTGACACCATCTGAGATCTCAGCATTCGTCACCTTTATTCCTCGTCCATTTGCATCCACCACTGCCTGCTGCAGTTCAAGCTCTTGAACTCTCAACCTCTGTCAAAAATGTCCTCCCTCTCTGATGACAGTTGTCCTAGATGCAAACAATCTCTGGAGACAATGAGCCATGTAACTTTTGGACCTCTACATTTGAGGTATACTCATATATTTGCCAGAAAACAATACATCCTGAACCTTTTACAGCATAGTTTGGTGGTCCTCTAACCAGGCAGGAAATCACTTCATACCAATCAAATGCGACTGCATTCCCGTCACTGTTAACACAAGGTTAATTCTTATTACCTGTCCCCCTCATGATGTGACTTCAAATAGAGAGGCTACGATTTATTCTGAAGGGTTATTGAATATGTTGAGAAACTGTCACTCCCAGCAGCTTAAGACCAACGCTAATTACCTGTACTTGTCTGCACCTTAGAAGCGGCCCCCGCAATTTTGTTGTATATGTATCATCCTATTGTTCCTGTGCAATTTGAATTTGACTTTTATTGTCCCCAAAGGGAAATGCTTTCTCACAGCAGTGTGCTTGTTTGACATAACAACAACCATAACAACAACAGCAACAACAGTGATGAGTACGACGTCCCGACAACCCAACAATAAAACTGAACAATAGACAGACACAGCAAGAACAACACTACGACACACAGACAGTTGTTACACTCAATAGGGTCTGCTGTTAAGGGCTGTGATAACTGAGGGGATCAGGCTTCTTCCAATGACAATAAAGGCTTTCTATTTTATCTATTCTATATATTTGACCTGTTTTCTACTCTGTCAATGTCCCTCTTTCTGTACTTTTTGTACTTTTGTTTCTTTGTTAACTAAAGAAAAGAAATGTTCGTCCTGATGCATCCACAACACGAATTTTCGTGTCCATCTCGGATGGCGATGGCATGGCCTGCCCTGCTCTCCCTTGGACTGGCATGTTCTCGTTGCCTTCGTTGGTTGGGTAGAGTAGACTAGGCCATGCCTTCGCTGTCCTTGTAAATGCAAATTTGGAGACATACATAGGTGCAGCTACATTCTACAGGCCCACATCAACGCCCACCACCAGTACAAGACAAACCCACCAACCTGACGGTTATTTCAACACTGCTACAACACCATTTTATAGTGAATGACATCACCACTTTATTCATTATCCCAGATGACGATATTTACCTTACATGCAACGAAATGTAATCTTTAACCTTACCGTAACCCTAACCATGTCTTTTTTAACCTAAGGGCCTGTGTCCACATGGCGTTTTTGTCTTAGTGCTGGCACCTTTTTTAATTGTTCCCAACGAGGACAGAGCATATGTGGCCATATATGCCCACTTAGAGAAAAAGTGCCATGCCAACGTCTTTTTCTCAGAGTGCTCCGCCTTCTTCGTGCAGCTGCTCCGAGTGCTTCGAGCTGAAATTCTCTGAACTTTTCAGAAAGGCGCTGGTGATGTCAGGCTACTGTCTACCATGACAACAAAAATAGAAAAGCCCATTTTTTGGGAGCATATTGGCTCGTGGACACTGGATGTTGCTGTGTTCCCTTTGTAAGCTTGTTGTTGTCTGCGTAGTCAACCCCCTGTTAATGGAGCGTTACAGTATCTACCCAGCTAATGTTAGTGTTAAGATATCATTGTCATAGTAACAAACCCATGCAGTGCGCATCAAAAAACAAAGCGCTGGGATGAAGCACTCCCCAGCACCCTGCCATAGCTTTTCTGCTTAAGGTAAACACTATGTGGACAAACCACCCGGCACTTCATAGCGAGCTAAATGCTAACTTAGCTTTATTTTTTCCAGGGCTTCTGCTTTCGGGCCAAGGAGAAAAGAGGGCTGATCGTGTAGTCATGGTGGGCAGGTCATGTATATGGTATAGCTGCTCCAACCACAGCTATACCTACTTGCAAATTCACAAGTAGGGTCAGGATCCAGGACTACGTCAGCAATGCAGGACTTGGTGGTTGTATTGGTAACGCCAATGACTAACGCTCAATGACTTGCCCATTTTATGAGGAGCTGCATAAAGTGTTGGGTGACCGTCTATCGATTTGATATCCCCAGCTGTACCAACAAAACCACTGATGTGCTAGTGAGCAGCTACCAAGAGTGTGGATGTAATTACTGTACACGGGGCCCTTTGACCTTCTATCGCAAGTGACATAGGCAGTAATGAACAAACAAGTGGTCAGTGGAGACACATGATAGACACAGGTGTGAGAGGCAATGTGTCTCGGCTGTCCACTTGTGATCACGTCACCAATATGCATGTTAATTCCAGGTGTAAACAGGCTCTTAGATTTAAATTTATTTTACTTACACATCAGCGACAGTTGTAGGGATGTTCTCCTCGACCCATTTTAGGTCTTCATCCTGGCAAAAGCAGAGTTAAAAAATACAAATTTATTAAGGATGTGTACGTACAGTAAAAGGATAGGAGAAGAGAGATGCTGATGGAAGACAGTGAACCCACCTCTTTACTCAACAGTTTCTGGGAGCCATTAGAGTCAGGCTTTGAGCCTCTCATCTTCATTCCCTCTAAAGAAATAAAATAAAAAATAAGCCAGCTGAAATCACACACAAAACCCTTGTCCAATTATATAATTATAACATAGCTGGGTTATTACATTTTCCATTTAAACCATTAAATGATTATAAGATGAAAACCAAACAAATCTGTTCTTCACGTATCAGCTTGAACAGATTTAGATCACAGCCTCAGTAGCATCGGGTTATACAACACAAAGCTCCGGTTGACAGGATTGTCTTTAAAGGATCTGAGCAGACCCAGATTATTTGCAGATGAGTGGGTTTGTCACAGAGTACAAAAATGCATAGACGCTTTGCAGTTGCAACACAAATCTGCTGGAAAAAACATTGCTGGAACCGTCACAGAGGTCCACCAGAACAGAACAGAACAGAAAATAATGGGTAAATATGGAGCAATTAGCACGCCAGCAGAAAAGATAGGAAAATAAGTGTTTCCACATTTAGTGTGTTGATGTGACAAACATCCCTGCAGCCCTCATGACTCTGGGATCTACACTACACTATTGAAGCGCTAAGTTTTAGAATGAAGCTTCGAGTGTCTGTCATTATATTTCATAACGTCAGCATCCTGAAAAAAATCCTTGAACGGAATCTTCAGTTTGAATTAAGTGAATTACTACATTAAACGAGGTAGTCTTTTCTTTAATTAAATCAACTTTTTTTAATGATTAAATTGAGTTGATGGTGCTGTTAGAGCACTCCAATAATACAGGCGTGTGTCTCCATTTGTGTGCGGTGAGCAGGAGCGCAAACCAGTTTTTCAAAACAAATTTTCAATGCCCACAAATATGGAATGAAGCAGAATCCATCCATTCATCAATTCTCAATTGCTTATCCAGGGCCAAGCAAAGCACCCCAGACATCCTTCTCCCCAGCAACGCTTTCCAGCTCCCAAGGTGTGCCAAGGCCAGATGAGATATGTAATCCCTCCAGTATGTGCTGGGTCTGCCTCGGTGCCTCCTACCAGTGGGACATGCCCAGAACACCTCTAATAGGAGGCGTCCAGGAGGATCCTGATCAGATGCCCGAAGCACTTCAACTGACTCCTTTAGACATGAAGCAGCAGCGAGCTACCTCCAGATGTCCGAGCTCCTTAGCCTATCTCTAAGGCTGAGCCCAGCCACCCCATGTCAAGCAGAATATTTTGTTAAATAAAAACAAGTTGTGAATTTTGCAAACGATTACATCTACCTTTGTTCAAAACTTTCTGACATTTTGGACTTCACAAAACTCTGGAGTTATTGGTAATGTCTGGATCAACAATCCTACGCAGCCACCCCTGGAATTAAATTCTACAAATAGTATAATATCTGTAACCGTGCAGCAATATCAGGTTGAAACAGAATGAATAGATATGCAAAAAAAGAAGAAGCTGCACAGCATTCAAATATTGATTTAGATTTTGAATGTCAATGATATGAACGCAGCTTCGAAACTTCAAACTGCTCCTTATAGCCCTGCTAACTTTTACTGGATACTTTAGCTAGCATGCATGTCAGATATGTTTATAAGAAGACAATACTGCTCAGCTGGCTGGATAGTGTTCTTCATAGCAAACATAAGCAATGAATGACACTAAAAAATGTTACATCAATCATAATTATCACAGACAAAAGGATCATTCTGCCATCAAAAAACAGCACAGCGTCCTGTTAGCCGAGTGGGTAGGGAACATACAGGAACATACAACCACATGAATGCAGCACACCCCCTCTCTCATCCCATTTCCTGTCTCTATTACACTCTTGGTTATTGAAGAACAAATAGAAAGAAAAAAACTGAAGCATGTCTGTTTGAACTGTATAGAGGAGGCCAAGATGTACAGTTCAGTCTTATAATGTGTTCGTGTGCTCATAGCAACTGTTGCTCATGCCTGTGTTTCATTAGTCGTTCAACATGCCCTCGCTGACTTCCACTCAGCACTTGCTCTGGGAGAAATCCCCACCGCCATCGTAAGTGTCGTTCCATTTGTCTGAAAAGCTGAAATGAACTTGGAACTCTTTAAATTCACTATCTGACATGCTTTTCAGTTTCAGCTTTTCTAATATATCTTAGAGGTCTTTGAAGATAGGCTTGGAGAAGTGCTCTCCAGTTGGAGGTGGTGACATTTTAATGTTTTGCGATGTCAGTGTCTTGGCTTTTATTTTATTTTCTGTTGGCTTTGCTGACACACAGCCAGTCAGATGCATTAACATGTGGAGACCACCTGGACGACGCGTCTCCCCTTACCCCCACTGTACAGGAATAAAGCTAAAATATACCAGATACAGCTGCTGCCATCTTGCTCTGGTGATGTCATTCGGGGGCCAGAGTCTGCGCAGTAGCAATCTCCCCAATATCAAGTTGCCGCCTAAACACCTGCCCAACCGTCAGGAAAACTAACACTTGAACATACAGCAGTGTGATTAAAACTATGAGTTTTTAGTTTGGCCCATGTCCCATCCACTAACATGGAGAGGGCTGGCTTTATAACCTGTTCTGCAGCCAGCCACCAGGGGGCGATCAAGATGTTTCGGCTTAACTTTTGGGAAGCTGACATGTTGACCATCTTTACATACAGTCTATGGTGGAAACATGCCCACTGCCCAGCCTCGCATCTCCACTGGTTTCTTGGCCTCTTTGCATTGTGCACTACCCGGGTATGGGAGGAGCTAACGTTAGCTAACTAGCTGCGCTGCTCATTCTGCAATTACAGCTGGTAGTGCCATACCGGTAGCAGAACGTGTTGCTCTGGAAACCTTGTGCCTGATCTCCGGTCTCAGCCCAAGTCACCTCAGTGAGTAAGCGGCTTCATTTTGAACCGCAAAACCCTTTTAGCATTGTTTACTATGTTAGCACCACTAGCTGTGCTGACACTGCTAATGGTGGTTAGCAATGTTAAAGGGGTTTTACAGCTATGAATTCAGCTGCTTACTCACTGGTGTGAGCTGGGGGAGATCGGAGGGTGTGCACAATGTTTCCAAAGCAACGCTGTTGAATCACGGTGGTATAAATAGGAGGAATGGCAGAATAAGCCATATTATATTCTTGGCGGTTGACTGTTGACACCCCTAGACTGAGGGGAAGTGAGGGAGTGAAGGCTGAACTACTAATGAAATGCATTACATGAGTTGAAGATCTCAAATATGGCCGCCAGGGAGGATGTTAGCTGCCATAATATTTCTCCAGTTGTCAGTGCCTAAACTGTAATAATGCAACAGCCTGCTTCATCTATTTGTATTCCAAACACTGAGTGATGCAGCGATTAATACATAACTCTTGGCTTGTCTCACAGTGGAGAGCAGGAGAATGATAAGTCTTACCAAAAGCTTCATTCAGCATTGGCTCCTTGGCCTCTTCCTCATCATCGTCCTCATCAATCAGAGGAGAGTGAGAGAACCTGAGGGAACACACAACCAAAAATGAAATACAACGTCTGGCGACTTCCGGGAACATGGCGGAGTGAGTTGCAGCATAGTCACCCTGCTCCCCCAAGTTGGTTAAAATAAATCCACAAATAAGTGTAACTTGACAGACGAAAGCAAGGCATGGGTGGAGGAAGCAAGAGAAGAAGCTAGAGAATCAACAAAAAATTAAACAAAGCTCGAGAACAGTTATTGCTTAATTTAAAATATTTAAAGTATTTCCACGTGAGTATATGTATTGGCTTTATCGACCTGTAGCACAACAATAAACGTTACGTTTATGAATTAAGAGGATTTAAACCGCTGCTTTTTGTATTGGAAAGCAGTGAGATTGTAAAATGTTCCTCAGTGCATGGACAGTGTGGTCACAAGTTGATCTGGCTGCCTCCCAATTTGAAGACATTGCAATGGCATTGCAATAGTGGCGCACCATGTTACTTGTGCGCCTATAATTTATTTTCCCATGATGGAGAGGGTACGAATCCCGTGAAATGTTCTTTTTTACCTTTCAAAGGGCTGAATGGTTCTTCAATATGGCACATGTTTAGACAGGCACCAGAGACGAAACTGTGTAGGCCTATTTAGAAATTGTATTCGAGATAGGAGTTAAATTTACAGGAAAATGAACGTGGCCTCTTCCTGTTTTCAACATTCCGTCACAACAGGTGCGATTCAAACCGCGACTGAGTGTTGGTCCGTGACTGGGTTCCTCAAACAAGAGTCCAAAGACGGATCAGGTCGGCTATGTTTTGATATTCTTCTGAAAAATTGATTGAAGAGGCCTTCGCGAGGAAAGCTATGTGTTCTCTTCCTGGTTGAAAACAGCTGTTGTCACTACGACAACCACAGACGCATTCGGATGAAAGTTGCCAGTTAACATAGTCGCGAGTAAATCCAAAACACTGGGAGCTGCTCCCAGGTCAATTGTGGCCAATTTTCTACAGTTTGAGATGAAAGAAATGATTTTGAAGAAAGCGTGGCAGAAGAAGATACAGGTGGGCTGTAAACAAGTGTTCTTTGACCATGACTACCCCACTGAAATCGCCCAGAAACGGAAGACATGTGGGTATTAAAGGATAAAGGAAAAGTGTGTTAAAGGAAAAGGGAATCCGTCTCCAGACACCGCTCGCAAAAATATGGATTCACTGGAACAACGGCGTGAAGATGTTAGGGAGCGCCAGAGAAGCTGCACCCCAGCTGAGGACACCGAAACTACACGACTATCAGTGGAAACCCTAAACAGGTAACACTGAGGACCAGAGACAATACAGGCATTGTAGAGCGACTATCCAAAAAGCAAAAATATAGTCGCCAAGAGGCTACGTAGGGGAAAAACTTTACCTGCCAGACGCGCTGGCTTGTCAATAAATCTTTGCTCCAAAGATGTTGTGTTTTACATATTTATTGCTGATAAAAACAAACAGTGAAACAACTTCCCAAAGTTTAAAAACAACTGCTGACATACCACCAACCAGAGCCCTGGGTTAGGGTTAGGGTTATGGCAGTTCACAGAGCCTCTCAATAGTTCCCGGAAGTAAGCGGCACATGCTAGCAGCGCAATGGAGTTACAGCAGAAAAGACCGTCTGTGTTGTACTTTTAACGGGTAAGATGTCCAAAGACTCAAATTTTACATTATCAGCACAACTTATCTAAATTATCATTTGTATTAAAGCTTGTTAGTGGATTATCTCCCATTAAATTAGTAGATTTATGTAATGTTAAAAGATAAGATAACAGATTAGGCTAGGACACTGTACATACTGTACACACCATACAGGTAATGCTAACCATGAACAGCCTGTTAGTTTTAAATTGTCTTCTCCTAAACCATTTTATCTAACATTGGGAAGTTAGCGTGCTTCCAGTCCTGATTTTTTGCGAGCCAGTCTGAGTTAGATATTAGCTCAGTTAAATATGACATTGCTGCGTGATTGCTGAGTGGAGGAGGTGAAATTAAATTAAAAACGTAACTTATGGTCTGGTTTTTAGGCTTTGTGATTCTGTTGAGTATACCTGTCTATAATATGTTACAGCTCAGCTGATATTACATTGATAGCGAAGTGAGAGGGAAGTTTGAGGACCTGAATGAGATTTAAAACACAAGATTAAGTAATTTTGATAAATGAAACATACCAGGCTAAATGGGGAATTATTCTAAATACCAAATGTATGTATATATTACTGTGTTATACATATGATCATGCTAAACATATATTCTATCACAGTATTAGATATGTAATTATATTGAATATATAATATATGATATACAGTGTTGGGCAAGTTACTTAGAAAATGTAATACATTGCATATTACCAGTTACCGTCATTATAATATAATAATATTAGTAGGCATTATTAAATAAAAGAGGGTCATGTTGTTTCATAGCGGCTAATTAAAGCACAGAGTTTTAACTACAGTTCATAAACTTACAAATCCAGTAGTGGGCGATATTGTATAGTCTGATGAAGGCTCTCCTCTGGAGTGCAGATCTGACCGATTCACGCATTCACGTGCAGTGGTTACAACTTTGTATTAAAATCCCCTGCTTATATAAATAACAGTGTGATGATATTAAACAATTAAATAGCCTAGACCTTTTCAAATGAACAGATAACTGTGGACACAGGGACGACCAGACACAGGATCAAAGTCTGATAACTTATTAGATAGGGATGAATATTTGAGAGCCAGTCATATGAAACACAGTAGGCAAATGCTGAGGTTAGCACAACAAAAGCAAATTGGCTTGCCAGTCAGTCACTATGACAAGTGCAAATTAATACACCAGAGCTGGTAGATCCACCTGCTGGTTTCCAGTGTGCTGATCATTTACAACAGCACCCAACACTGAAATATAATTAAACATTTTATGGAATTATACTGCAGTGATGCTGCGTGCCTCGTGTCAGGAGTGCTGCAGGATGAGGACCATTAATGTTACAGTTCAGGAGTGGCAATAACAATGATGTTACAGGTCCAGGGGTGCATTGTGGTGCAGGGGCGCTCACAGCATGATGCACAAAGATGGTGGGAATTAAATCTGCTCTAAGCTTTGTCTTGCCCTTTTTGGTCTTGGCAAACTGGTCTGCACCAAATTGTGCCTGCAGTGTCTTCCCACACACAACTCACTTTTGTCTACCCACAGACATCCCATAGTGGTTGAATGCATACAGTATTCGGGAACACTTTATACATGAGACAACTTCAAACAAATGCAATTAAAACTGATGCCACTTGTCATACTTATATATATGTCTATAAACTGCTGCTGCTGCTAGCCCAGTGACCCATTGTGCTGTCACTTGACAGTCATTGGTAATCACCCGTCAGTCTCCTTCTGTCCCACTGAAAGTAATTAAGATAACATTAGGTATAAATCAATACAACCATTACATTATCAATAAATGTTAGGATGTAATTACTCTTGGCAACCACACAAGACTAAGGACAGAATTGAAAACATCATTTAAAGCAATAAAAGCAACATGCTGTTTCACCAAGGTAAGGAAAGACTAACATATTTAAACAAGGCAGACAATAATATATGTTATATGCACATTACACATAGTTATACTGTGTAATAATACATTTCTATCATATAATTATGCTATGTCATTAATATACTTATACTGGCCTGTATACATATATAAATACATATCCTTATCCACATCCCTTATATTTAAACTGTGCACTGTGTACATACTGTGTAATTTTCCTGTGTGCAATATTTTGCCACTTCCTGTGGGATATCTATACATTCCTATATTTTTACAGTAAAAATACTACGCATCATGTATATTACACTCATCCTGTGCAGCTATTAATCATGAGCATACAGTATCTGTTTCAGTGAAAGGTGTATATGGATTTTCTATTATTTTCATTATGTCTAATTTGTATTTAAAAAATATTTTATCCTTTTTCTATTGCCTCTGCTCTGAGCTCTGAGCTGCTGTAACGTGAATTTCCAAGGTTGGGATTAATAGAGTCTTACCTAATCGTAGTAAACTAACACTAATCCTCAAATATTAGCACATTTTACTTTAAAAAACAACATAAAGATGTAACTGTTTATGTCGTGCTACACGTATATTATAAATAAATGTAGTTATTGACAGCTACTTACAAAAAATCGGAGTTCTGTCTTTCAGTATTATGTATTTAAACGGCCCGCCAGTAACTTCCGGGAACTATCCGAGGTCTACATGAGTCACGTGACGCACAAGCATTTTGGACTTACGTTGTCGCGACTCTGTTATATTCTACGGCACTGCCACCAACACCACGTGACTCACATCCTCGTAAGTGACCAAATATGGCATGCAAAGAAACTTAACACAAAATACTACAATAACAATAGCTGGCACCTACAGGTATGAATAAAGACAAATAATATAATAAGACAGAGGAGAAGATTTGATAAAAAGACTTAAATGCAGCAAACATTATAGGTATTTATCTCTGAGCACTGAATGGGACTTTGTTCACAGCTTGGATTGAAATGACTGATTCAGGAAAATGGAGCCAGAGTGGGAACGTCTGATCACTCTTCTTTTGTGGAAGTTAGTAAGAACCGACTGGGAGAGGTCAGGTCATTTTGAGTTGGACTTGTGTAGACACTAAGGACACCACAAGTCGGGTTTTGTTCTGGGTCTAGGAAGGGATGGATCTCACTCAGAGATGAGGATTTCCCCTTCACCCACCAACGGGGATTTGGTGAGGAAGAGACAACCCCCCACCTTTGGAAGCTCTCCTGTTTTCTGATTTATTTTAGGTTAACTGTTCATGAGTATTTAGTTCAGAACTGTTTGGGAACACATTTTCTGAGAGCAACAAAATATGGTGCGCTGGTGTAAACCAGATTACACAGCTAAGTGGAAAGAAATGGAAAAAGAGTTCAGAGGATATCCAATTCAGAATGTTATAGAGATAAAGAAGTATACAACAAAATAAAAAACAATCGGATTCAATTACTATAGCCATGTTTCCATCAGCCTGTTTAGATGCGCATCTAGAAGTATCACATCAGAAAATTATGATGGAAACGCCAAAATTCTAATTAAAATCCCCTGATTCGCACAAACTAATATAGGCTCGCTTTAGCCGGGTTTTGGTTGATTCGAAAAAATGTTGATTCGCAAAACGGGGGATGGAAACAGTAATGTTCGAATTAAGTCTGACGTAGCGCACCTCTCTCCATGGTGATATCCACACTCTGGGTCGGGAAGGCGGTAATGCATTTACAAGCTGGTTGCCAACAGCCAGAAAATGTAGAAGAAGAAGAATGCAAGACTTGTTTTGTTTCCAGTTCTGCGGAAAACTTGCGCGAGTTTGTAGTTTTCACCAAAAAGTCTGTATATTTAATGGAAACACACAGGATTCTTATTTCTTTTAATGTGCATTTCCCAATGATTCGAATCACTTTTGGATGGAAACATAGCTGTTGTTTACTTTGGAATTATGGTTTAGAATCGTTAAAAATTATGGTATAAAGAAGGATAATAATCTGTTAAAGTGGGTTGCATTTGATAGCAACTTTCAGCCGGCTGCATACAACAAGGGATTCAGTGGGAGACTAAGGGAATTACAGCATGGTGTACTCTAGAGAAAGATGGGAGCTGGAGAGTTTCCAAAATATAAGAGACAAGTATGATCTGGGTAAACACCAATTCTTTAGGTAGGCCTACCTACAAATAAGGGATTACTACAGGAAGGAAATCAGGATGGATCCCTCCATGGAGGTGAATGGTGTGATTCAAATTATAATCAACATGTATAAGGGTACAAAAATCAGAATATCTTCACTGTACCAAAAATTGACAATTAAAAAAAACTCAACTAATTGTATAAAAGAAAAATGGGAATCGGAGCTCAACATAAAAATCTCAGACAAAGATTGGCAAAATTAGGGGTGGGAATCTCTAGGCACCTCATGATTCGATTCCATTCCGATTCCGAGGGCGTCAATTTCAATTATAAAACGATTCTCGATTATAAAACGAGCCAGTAAGAAAATTTACACTAGATATTGAAAAATATTTTTGTAATAAACCTGGGAATACATATCCAGTGCATACAAACTGTAGGCCAGCTGATGTCAAGCTGTTCGCTGGTGGGTAACTGGTGAGGATAGCAACAATGGCGACCACTATAAATCCTACAGACCACATTAACGATGCTATCGAGGTATTTCACCCACCACTACTCGGTTAATGGAAGACCGAATTAAGGAAGCTGCTAAACTGGATTTAACGGCGATGCAGCTGGGCGTGCACGACGACGGAGACATTTTAAACGGGCAATGCTCGCTTGTTTTCGGCACCCCCGAGGCATGGATACTAATGACGTCAGATTCTGGGTGAGTCGTTGATCTCTACTGATTGGTTAGGGAAAAATCAAATTCCCTCCCCCTTGTAAATCGCCTTTAATGGAGATGATGTCAGACTGAAGGTTCTGGGAGCTTCAGTCTGACACTCAGGCTATATAAGTATAACTATCTATGAACTGTAAAAACACGAACTATTGCAAAAAAGACGAACGATGGCAAAACTACGAACTATGGTGAAAACACGACAAAAACACGGCATAAAAGAAACTCAAAAGCTCTCAAAAAAACCCCACAAATACTATTATTTACAACACTAAATATTATTTACAAAGAAAACGCCACCAAAACTCCGCTAAAACACAGCTAAATCCCTCCAACTTGCACTCTCCTCGTCAGCTGATACTCTCCTCCTGCTGTGCACACTTCCCTCCCCTCCTCCACAGGTAATGACGTCACTACCGTAATGTACCGTATATCAAAAAGCTCCACTTCTCAGCTTTCAGAATCAATTGGAATTACTTCGATAGTGTGAATGGTCGAGGAGTTATGGTAATTTGAAAAATAAAAATAAAATTAAATTAAATCGATAATGAGTTTTCCACATCGATGCTCGCATTGTTCAAGACAGAATCTTGATGCATCTAAAAATCGATTTTTTTCCCCACCCCTGGGCAAAATATGTGGAAAATGCATCAAACATCCACCAATTTGCGCATATGGAGGGAGTTCTCCTTCTTCTTCCTATAGGGCGAATCTTACGCAGGGAATCCAGGGAGTCCATTGTCCAGACAGATATCAATGTTTCTTGGGGGTTTACTTTAGAAGAGTGAGCAAACCAAAAAATAAAATGAACGTGTTTGTTCTGCTGGCTTTAAAGGCACGTATGTTGTGTTTGTTGATGTATATGTAAAAATGAGGAAAATCAATAAAAATTAAAATGAAAAAAAAAATAAATAAATAATACAACATCTGGCAACTTAATCTGACAGCAATGGTTCTAGGCTGCAGACTGACTCTGACCTCTGGTTGTTAGCAGAGGGCCGCAGCAGCACCATGATCACCAGCAGTATGGTGGAGAACAGGAGGCGCCAGAAGGCATCGTCAACCCACAAGTCCCTCCAACCCTGTGGAAGGGATATAAATAGACAAGTGAACACAGAGATGATGTTATCAGGTTGGAAGGCGAGTTCACTTTTCATCTCTGTATAAACAAGAAACGGAAATCTCATGAAGGGAACAGGACTGGTGCACACAACACAATAATCAATCACTAGCAGACAACAAACTGACCGTCTGGCAGTCCACCAGCTTGAAGACTTTGGTGGTCCAGATGATGAATATGATGGAAGCTGTGGACACAAAGTAAACACCGCTCTCATTTTGATGTCTGTAAACAATATGTAAATGATGGAAAACAACACATGAAACATCCCACCAGCGGAAACCAAATTAGAAAAGGTTATCCGAGCCAAAGGGCAGGCAAACACACAACTGCATCTACATAATTTAACACATGTAGAGCATATATTAATACAGTGCCAGATATATGAGCTAAAGGAATAGTTCAGGGATTTTTTCTGTGTAGAGAATTACAAGGCTGCCGCTGCACATCCCTTTTCTGAACTTCAGAGAGGCAAAGAGGATGACATGCAGCAAAGGGCGTTGGCCAGATTCAAACCCTGGCTGCTGCTGTAAGGACTTATCCTCAATGGTACAAGCACCTTTAAAACACTGTATTTTAACAAGTCTAGCACTTGGTGGATTTCTGTCATTTTGTAATTGCAGTTGCAGCATTATGTTGATGTGGTGGGACTAAATCATAATCTGCTCAGTGCACTGGGAAGGGCTCTGCCAAAACTGCCACAGGAAGAAAATAGCCTTCTGGGCCCGTCCCATAAATGTGTTGTGCTTTTAAACTAAATAGGCACAACAGTGTTTCTGTTGTTTAAGTGTTTCAAGAAAACAAAACTCATTTCCCCTGCTGTTTGTTGATGTTTTAATATAATTTTATATCGCCAGCTTGCCTTTAGAAATACTGTTGTAAATGGCAGTCAGTGTTTCTAAATGCAGCTCCATGCACCTGCACCTGAATGCTGTCTTGTACCGAGACTAAAACGTGTAAGTGTGAATTTTTCAAATCAAATACTGATAATAGCAAATAATTTTAATTAAGAAGTAAAATCCACTCATCAAAATAAACTATAAACTAAGAATAATAATAATAAACTTTTTTGTATAGCACTTAAAAAAAGTTAGTGTTTTATGAGACAAATAAAATAGTATACACCATCAAGATAAAAACAGCAATGAAAACATTGAACATAGCCTGAGACCAGATAAGAGCTCGCCAACCTAAAAAAGGGGGAGAGGGGATTATAAAATTATTTAATGAATTATTTTGCAAATGCTTTAAAACAAGAGATCTACATTTGTGTGATCAATGTCATTCTGCCAGCACAATAAAATTGTTTTATAAGATATTCAGTGTATCAGTATTTGCAGGTCATCGACCACTCTTATGTCTGTACAGTAAGAGCCAGCAGTCAGTTAGCTTAGCTTAGCATAACATATGGAAACAGCAGGCAATAGCTGGCTCTGTTGAAAGGTAACAGTCCACCTACCAGCACCTCTGAAGCTCACTGGTTAATGTGTTATATCTCCTAATTTTATTCATACAGAAAAATAAAAACTAAAATGAGTATTATCTCGTACAGCTCCCTCTAGAGCCATAAAAGGCTTTACATAAGCAGTTATATTTCCCAACACCAGTAAACAGACTTTAATGTGAAATTGTTAAAAGAAGCAGTGTAAAACTGGTGGACTATGAGGCAATCCATCTGAGATCAGTTGCTACTCACCGACAACGGAGAAGATGAGAGTGTTCGTAAAGTGCTGATACAAAGAGAGTTTCACCACATTTCTGCGGAGCTTCAGTAGACGAGTGGTTTGAGACAGACTGATGAAAATGTAGATAGAAATTAAGGAGAACACACTGTATATCAATTCAAGTAACCACATTTAAAAGCTTATATCTGCTTCTGAAAATCCTTGATTAGCTGTGAGCAGTCATTTTGGCTGGTTGAGTAAAGGATATCCACCACATGACACAGGAGTCAATGAGGGAGAGGCTGAGATTAGCCACCAGGGCAACCGTCCCATAGAAACCCTGCAATTGGAGGACAAATGAGACAAAACATGAGCGCGGAGGTCAGCAGAGAGCACAGAGTGTGTGTAAACATGACACAGAGAAGAATTTTTACATTCTTATCATAACAATAACTTTTCAACATAAGATAAGCCTGAGTTAAGATCTGGTGAAGATGTAAAGATGACATATAATGTAATGTATTTTGAGTTTCTATTAGAACATGTTTATGTGCTTCAGTATTTAAAAAATACTTCATTTTCCTCACACTGTCTGTGCTGGTGTTAACCCTCTGTCTGAAGAACACTTAATTTTGCCATAGTGTTTTTAACCAACTGGACATCACGCTCAGGCGCTGGGTGCTACTGAGGTGCAACACAACCTCAACAAGCACCTTATCATAGCCTTTTTATTTGCAGAGCTGATCTTCTTCCAGGCGCTGTCCTGCGTGTGTGAAGGCCTATTGTCTGTGGGACAGATGTAAAACTCCGACAGCCCTGCACTAACATGTTCAACTTCTTTTCCGTATTTATCACAGACTGATATTTACGGAAGACGAATATCTGTTGGCAGTGATTGGTTGTTCCTCGTCACATGACATGTGGTGCGCACTGCTGTGTTCCAAAAGCTGAACTCTGTTTATCTCAGGGCGCAGCCGTCATGCCCTGAAAAATAGGTGCTTGGAAACATGTGTGCGCCTGCCGCACATCTACATTGAAAACAATGAATTTGAGGGCGCAAAAAACAGCATCTTTATGGCCCCTAAGCCAACCATCGGCCCTCAGTGAGCGTCTGTCACCCTGGTTTTGGCAGTGTGTCCTGCCACGTTGGCACTAGTCAGCCCTTGTCGCCCCTTGTTGGCTTTTTGTCAGTCAAGGCATGACAGTCATGCCTCGTTTTTTGCCTCAAAGTAATTGTTTTCAATGTAGACGGCAGGCGCACTCAAACACCACTGATGCTGTTGCAGTGCACACACATTCCCGAGCGCCCATTTTTCAGGGTGCGACAGCTGCGTTGTTCGATGTTGACAGTTCGACTTTTGGAATGCAGCAGCGTGCATCCATGTCACGTGACGAGGAACAATCAATCACAGCTGACCGATATCTTTCCCTCCATCTGTAAATATGAGTCTGCTATGAGGTGATGCAACAGTCGATCTTCGTTGCCACTAGTTCCTTACTGTCCGTTGGGTGTGTCTGGGCCTTATACCCCCTCCCCAAAAAAGCCCAGTCTGCTCTGATTGATCAGTGTTTCCAGGTCTTCCACATCTTTGCGTTCCTGCATCCCCACTGCAGACGAGGGATGAGTGTAACAGAGAATAGTGGCACTTCCTACTGTGACAAATCACCATTAGGAGCTTCTAAACACAACCAGACCTGTTACAGCAGGAATATGAGCCACAGTCTGGAAGATATTAACAACATCAGCGACTAATATCACAGGTTTCCCTGTTTAACGTAAACACTTGCAGTCGCATGCCTGGAGCAGATGACCATATGAAGAAATCCATCAAGAGCTGACGTGTGGTTTTTGCTCACAGGAATTACTTATGCATATGTTTACCAAAACGTTTAAAAACTAAGGCCACAATTACACCATCCTTTGTTGTAATATTCTACATACAGTATGATAGATAATAAAGAAAAGCATAATAGGTCCCCTTTAAGTATCCTCTGCCTCCACACCTAACACATCTGCTCACCAAACTACACAGCCTCGCTCCATTCCTCTAACTGTCTTTTCTTTATTTGTGTAACGTTGTGTTTCCATGACTTTCTGAACTTGCTGCAGTGTCTTTGGCTGCTTTTGAATTTCACTCTCGATCAAATACGTCACTCCCTATTATCATCACTCGCCTGCCTCCCAGAGACCGAATCCTTGCACAACCTTCTCGCTCTGCTCAAATCAGTTTTATTTATACAGAGTGCCTTGAAAACTGTACCAGGCAAGATTTTTATGTAAAAATACACCACCACTATCAGCTTCAATCAGCCTGTGGCGGCTGCAGCAGCTAATGTCCCATCTGCAATAGTTGAAATGCAGCGGCGTCATTATTTTTTCCTGGATGAAATTCATCCACAGCCACAGAAAACGATGAATTAAGGGTTAGAAGCAAAGTAGGAATGGTCTCCTGAGCAGCAGCAGGAGTGAGCCTTGCAGAGAAAGCTAGACTAAGTGTTTAATATTTTTCCTATCACATCCATTTGGTATATTTTGGGACACAGTAAATCTTCTCTGGGTGGTTTGGTTGATGTAGACTACTGTGTTCTTTGCAGTCTGTTGATGCCACTTAACAGGATCCCTGTTTCCAAAAAAGTTGCTTCATGCTGCCATCTGAATAACAAGTTGCAAATGTGCAGAGTGCCTCCTTTAAAGCTACTGAATATTATTTTTACATGTGCTAAAATCATTACTATATCCTGAGAGTAGTACATGAGACATATAATCTGTGAAAAGATCATGTTCCTCTGGCTCCTCCTAGTACTCCTAATGACCTGAGTCCACATAGCCTGAACATAAACAACCAATCAGAGCCAGGAGGAGCCTCTTACGCAATAGCCGTAGCCTTTGCACACACAGAGATCCTACTATAGGACCCTGAATTACGCCAGCTTTGCTTTGTTATGCAGAATCAAACCACACAGGCACGATGCTACCACAGTGTGTGTTTGGATGATTCAGAGTTGCAGAAGCAACAGAGGCAGGATGGGCACTGTGCAACACAACAGCATCAGTCTCTAGTGTGACTTATAACAAACACGTCTGGCAGCACTTTCAGAACAATAACAATGACATTAACATGTCAATAACAATCATTTACTGTCCCTGTTATATGGCGGTTGATCTCGTCCCTTGCTTGGGCGACAGAGAGCTCCCACATCTCAGAGTTTTCCTAATTTGCAGACATTTTCAGTTACTGTTTTTCCTCTTTGAGTTAGATGCTAAATGCTGCTAGCTGCTTTTTAAATCTCTTGGTAGTGAGTTGCACACATAACACAGCGTCAAAACATCACATCCGTGCTGTCCTGCTGGCTGTCCTTTTTACATAGACATTGTTCAGCAGTTACTACTGTACCTCCATTGCTACTCTCCCTCGATTCCGCACTTATACCTTTAATACAGAATGGCTAGGTGTAATAACGGTGCAACATTCCAGCCTTGGACAGGAAGAGTAAAAGGGGCTAATCACTGCTCGTGCAAACTGCGCTTCCAACAACAGTGTTCGCAGCAAAGACAAGTAAACAGAGGACAAACAAGCAAGAACGCTAAAATGGAAGTTTTAAAGTAAAGGATGCAAAACCGATGCCAGTTCAGGCTTGGTTTAACTCTTTTTAGCTTGCCTTTTGTCGTTGGTTATCTTTGCCATGTACACTGTTGTTGGCAAAGAAGGGATGGGCAGGTTTTTCATTGCTGGTGGTTGTGTCCCACCCATTGTGTTTGCAAAGTTCCCCCCAGAGTTTAAGTTGGTCAGCATATTTCAGCTTTTGCTGTGGTCACGTGTAGATATCTGGCAGATGAAAATATCAACGGCCAAAATGTCGGGTGGGAAATATGCCAAATAAATAAATGAATTAATCAATAGCATATTAAATAGTCTAATAATGTGTGACCTGTAAGAAATGTTGCCAAAACAACCTAGATATAAACCTAACTTATGCAAACCAGATTTTTAGGATTTTAATTACCAAAAGCTCTATTTATCCACCAAAGCTGAACAGAGTGCTTCCCGACTCTTTGGAGCATGAGCCACATCCACAGTGGTCACGGTCTTCCTCTCAGCATTCTCTATGTATTTATGTGATGGCACTGTGGGTCTCCTCGTGGATCAGAATGGAGACTGGCGTCACTCCACCATGGTGAGCCAGAAGGTGGATAGCTAACGTAGTGATTTATGGTGACGCTCGCCACACCGAGTCCTCGTCTTCCTTCGCCTCTGCCACTAAACCTCTGATTAGTCACTGTTCAATAGACCACTTAAATAAAATAAAACCTCGCTGTTGATGTGAATCATTATATTATTACACACATGAGGGATTCACAGGAAACAAAGCAGCATGTTAAATCCAATTTTACTGTTTTTAATTTGATTTTACGATTTACTGTTCACAGTTACTGTTAATACAAACCAAACATTTCCAACTGCTGCTGCTCCACAATAAACTGGTAAAACACAGAGTGGCTTTTTGTGTGAAGCAGCCACAAAACAGTGATGTATTTGTCACAGAGTTTGGTGCTGACAGTATCTGATGATCTGATGAGTGGGGCTACAACCAGGACAACTCAGATAAATAGAGAATAGTTTATGTGTTTCTATGAATTATCTGAAACTGTCACTGTGTCCCACATCTGTTATGCTAACTAGGCTAAAACGAATATTGAGAACATTGAGACAGCTGTGGGGTGGTGGAGTTTATTAATAGTTGGTACTTACACCTGTCACTCTTAGCACACCTTCCACAGAGGAGAAGAGCAGGTAGAGAAGCCCGACAGCGACCAGCCGGTGTACTGTGGTGCCCAACCTGGGCCTGAACAAGTGAGGAGGAAAACAGATTTAATTATACTGAGTAATGGCTGAAATAGACATAACGTGAGGCAAAAGGTGAGTTACTTAGTAAACTTACTTGACTATGCCGTAGCCAAGACTGACAATGAGGACAAGGATTCGGGCCAGAGATCGTTTGAGTGCAGAGAGAAGCTCAGCAAAAATCACAGCACCCTGAACTGTGAAGAGAAAACAAACAAACAAAATGACGATGATATCAAACTGAAGAGACAGGAGAATAAAACATTAATGAACAGACGAGCAAATGCGTCAAATCAACCAACCGTGGTCTCCTTTGTAACGGATGCTCTGGTACTCTGAGTAAAACACAGCTTTCTCCAGCATGCCGAGGATGATGACAGCGCCGATCCAGAACTGGATCCGCAGCAGATCCCTCCAATAGCAGGCGCACCAGAAGAGCCAGAGAGCCCCGAACAGCACGTACACGATGCACATGACCATGAAGAACTGTGACGGACAGAGGAGACAGAAAAGTGTTCAGCTGTGTTTTAAATTACAGTTAAGCATGTATATCAGGGCTGGGATATAATCTCTGAAGACCAATACTGTCATACTCAGGGTTATTTATTTATATTATTTTAGTATCTAACATGTAAGTAGTATCTTCAAGATAGGCGTTCTTTTAGTTGGTGTCATGTCACATATAGATGTTCCTTTTTTGCAGTTCTTTTAAATGTCTTCTCTCTACTATGTCAGCTTTCTATCACTAAAATTTCCTGGACAGTTTCCAGCCAGTGTTCCTGTTTTGGGGGGTTAATTTGAGCCAGTGCCTGGTGATAGCTTTGTTACCTGCTGCAAGCAAAAACTTTAGTCAAGGAAATATCTTTTCTCATCACAACACCTTTAATGTTCCAGAGATACATCACAAGGCAGGTATTTGGGATTTTATATCCTCAAACATTAACAGCCACATTAATAATTTCCCTGTATGACCTGATGTTTGCACAGTAGTAAAATCTAACTTGCATCCTGTTAAGGCTGCAAGCGGAGTTGAAATCTTCAGAAACAATGAGTAAGCAGGATCTTGTGTTGAGATTGAGAACAACTTAAGATACTGTTTAAAGTCTGTTTGCCCTGGACAGTTATGCTATTTAGTCATAGAATTTGTGTTGAAGATCTTCTTTACATTTAAAAACCTCCCTTTATATAACTTATGGTACATACCATCATGAGGGGCCAGTCTGCTGGAGAAGAGAAGTCATGTGGTCCCTTCATCTCAACTTTCACTGGGGAAAGAAAAATAAAAAAGGTCACTTCTTTTGACACAGAAGTGTCACCTCTTTAAATTCTCAATTGTCTGTTTTTAATTCTGTTTTTTCACAAATTTATTTATGAGAGGTTGTAAAGCCTTTTGGAGTAAAACTGTGTTTCTCACTTGTGAAAGCAAAGTTAAACTGCTCTGCCCCGAATTCGTCATCCTCAACTCCGCGGAACAAATGCTGCACCTTCACTATGAAGAGATACGGACTGTCCTCCCAGGCTTTGGCCACTGCACTGATGTCCTGTGAAACAAATGTTTGTGAGCAAAAAATCATAAGGTATGTCTTTATTTTTAGTTTTTTATATGTACACCTACTTAAACCATAAATCAAAAAATGTTAACACCAACAACAGCGTTTGCAATTGACTTCAATATCTAAAAAGCATGAGACAGAAGTAAAAGTTTCAAGGTCAGGGTTTAACATCAGCCCTGAGAGGTCACGGTAGAATTTTTCCTTAACTACTTTTGTGTTGCCTTACTGTAAATTTGGGATAACTTTGTATAAAATATGTTCACTGAACCCCATTTTAATTGCTAAGAAGGCCCAGGTTGTGATGTATACATTTTAATGGGTGTATCTATGCAGAGATTGTGTGTGTGCAGTGAAGTGATATGGCTGTGCTGAGAGGGTGAAGCTCTCCCAAAACTCCTGTAGTGGTTTGATGACACCTCTGTCATATCTGACAGAAGCAAGGCTTTCTCACAGGGGCAGATCATCCAGGATGGCAGCTCCTATCCCTAAAAAATGCCTTGGCACCGTGGCTCTCGCCCCAGTTTTGGACAATCTAATTAAAAAATACGTATCTGGTGGATGTTTGCAAATTTCCGAGGGCAAAACTCCAGTGTCCGAGCAAGAGATGACACTGCTCACCTTCTGTCTATCCTGATGTAGTATGGACAGTCAATCAAATTTCATCCCCGTGAAATAAGAAACAAAAAAACAACCTTGCCATAGTGTGTTGCCAGGAGCTGTGAGAGGACACAGGCTTTTGTAACAGACCAAATTTACCCAGCTGCTGCTAGCCATCCCTGCAGTGGGCGGCAGCTCTGTTCTCTCCTGCCCACATCTGTTTCGGCTCCCGGTGTCACACACAACAACTGCTGATGGCTTTTTTTTCCTGCCAAATGTGTGTGTAGGTTTTACCGAATGGCTGCGGATGGATAGTGGCAGGTTCATTTGTTGAGGTGTATTTTGTTTAGTAACGCTAACACCTGTTTGACTTTGTCAGGGACGGATTGAGTTGGACCAACCCTAAATATGCAGCTACCAACATCTCTGAAACTGCTCATATTGCAGACAAACTTTTTATCATCCATTACAATGCAACATACAATGTTAAAAACACATAATTCAACACTTCATTCAAGGCTATGACCACCCCTCGGACATGACCTCTGATAGAAACATATATTTAAAGACATTACAATAAAAGTAGTAACAGAATGTCTTACCGGCTTATCGGGCCAAATGAGGCTCTGATTCGATGGGTCGCTCTGAACAGAACAAAGAACATAGTCAGCAATGTTTCATAGAGTGAAATAAAGCCAGGGTTGCGTTCACACACACATGCACAGATAAAGCTTTTAGATATTATGCTCAGTATGTTTAATCCCTTTTATAAACACAGCATATCAGCTCGATCTGTGACTCACCTTTGGGCTGGTGAGCGGCTGATACGGGTTGTAGTCTGCATAATACGTCTAGGTAAGAGGACGGAGAGAAGAAATATGTTTAGACTGTATGCAGCAAATCATTTAAATGTTGAGAAGATGAAAAAGAATATAAGAAAAACATTTTCATGATGTGACAAGACATCTACATCAACAAGATAATTGCTGCACTTAAAAACACTGAGATCAAATTTACATACATAGTGTAATGTGCTATGTATTGATTGTCTTTGTCACAAACCCTGGGTAAGAAGAGCGATGAGCAGTTGTCAAAGTACATGTAGCCCTGACTGTAGAAGCCGCTCCAGCCGTCCTTCAACATGTGGTCCATACCAAACATGTTGTTCGCTTTGTTGTCCTACAAAAGGACAGTGAGAGGAAATAAACACACGATGCAGTCAGTTAATCCTTTAAAACTACACTGGTGTTGCAACATTACACCACATTAATAAAGGACAGTGTTGACTGTAGATTAAAGAGGCAGAATACTTCTACAGATAGTAAAGTTTCACAAGGGAGATTCTTCTACCTGTTTTAGAAACCTGTTTAGAGCCTGACAGAAGAAGACACTCACTTTCGAAACACATCTGCTAAAAATGTCCTGTTGAGGCTCCAGGTGACCTCAATATATCCTCGCTTTATGACCGACAGCGACAAGGTGAAGCACATCAAAGTCAACACAGGACAAAGAGCCAGCGCTGGCACAAAGACAGGAGAGGAGCCTGAGGCCATCGAAACACTTTGTGGAAGGACGCACCTGCTGCTCTGACTGACTGACAGCTGATGCTGGATGTGACGCCAAAACCACTGATGTGATAATGAGGTCAGGGAAGTGAACTTTCTGAGTTCACCTCCACACTAAACACTTACATTTTTAAAAAAGTGTTTTTAAAATGAAAACAATCTCTGTACACATGAGCGTTTTTGCATCATTTTTAGAAATAATCTCAACATAATCACATACACTGGGCATGCACGTACAAATGTAAACAGGAAGCAGATTATCTATTCTGCATTTGGTTGCTCAGTCACAGGAAAATCCACAGAGATGGCGAAACATAGGACCAGAGCCAGACCGCTCGGACTGACGACGACGTTGAACTGTTACTGAAAGTAACATCAGTATAAGGCGGTCAAGATGGTAAGAGACAGATTAAGAGTTGTTACAAAGCAAATACGAGGACATATCAGAGCGTTACAGGGAGCATCATCCACCGCCGGAGGATACCATGACAATGGGAAAGGAGCAGCCACACAAGAAGAATGAAATCACAAATGTATGTAGATGTAAGCTGACTCTGTTGATGCCCATCCAGACTAAAGGTAACCCTGGAGTTTTTAAACTAAAACAGGGTCAGCAGTGTTTTCAAAGGCCTCATTTTCAGGGGTAGTTTGGACTCTTGGTGTAAACGTAGCAAAAGTTATGAGCTTTATGAGTTGTTGCCCAAGAGTGAGAAGTTCATAAAGTGCCCCTTGAGACATGTTTTAAGAATACTTATACTAATATTTAGTTTAACATGGTTTTCCAACATAGAAAGTAAAAAGAAAACACTCTAAAAAGAGGCTGGAAGTATATTTACTCTTTCTCTATTGTCTCGCTTGTTAGCTTGAAGGCTAACTGGCAGTGGCTAACACAGCATAAATGGTTGTGGAACGTACAGCATTATGTGTGAAAATGGGAGTTTTGACAATAGGTAATGTAAGGAAACTCTGGGTTACATCCTAAAACTGCACACTCTACCATGTTTGCTGTCAAAACCTTCACTATGATAATGCTAACTCTGCTCTCTGTACTGACAAGGCCGCTCTGTGCTGGAGGTTTCACGTGTCTTTGCCGGTGTTGTGTTGAAGTCTGTTCCCCTGTTGATATGTGCTTCCGGTATTGGACAGCTATTGGCATTCACATTAATGAGAAACCTAATGTAGCTGCCTGGTGAACATTTTAGGGAAGTACACAGACATCACCCCTTCACTACAGATGTGAAAACACCTCTCTATTTACAAACTTCAAACAGATACAATTCAGTATGGTCAAGATCAGACATTTTAGGGGATATAAACATTAAAAAAGAAAAGAAATTTGAGTGGAGGGGACTTTAAAAACATGAAGATGTAAATAAACTTGTCTCTTCAAAATCCACAAAGCCTACCTTCTATTTACCAACTCTATAGTGCTTGTGTGTGTGACATTAACATTCATGACAAAACAAACAGTTGACACACCTACAGACAAAAGTCAATACTCACAGGTGTGTTAAAGACCTCATTGTAGCACACAGAGGAGCGCAGGTACCAGCTGATGTTGAAGGCCAGGTTTCTATCACATGACGCTGTGTCACCCTGGACTGCACAGAGATAAGAGACAACAAATTACTCAAAGGGTGGAGCACTGGATTATTACAAAGTCTTACTGGTCGTCTAGTGAGGCTGTTACAGGAGTTACTCTGTGTGTTTGGTGTTCATACTTTTCCCCGACCACAGTGACTTTTGATATCTCCCTGCGTCACGTTGCTGCATTGCATCCTGGTCTATTTTCTGCTGCAGTGGGAGTAGGTATCAGTATCTCTCCCTCATTTACAGTTATTATGGATTTCTCACTTTATGACTGGTGTATGCTGATGCAAACTGACATCTCCTGAGAGAAGAAACAGTCTCTGATTCAGAAGGACTGAAAAAAGAATCTGACGCTCACTATCAAATGTTATAGACTGTATTTTCTCCAACCAAGCTCTAGTGCAAATATGCTGAAAATATCCTAATCTAGGCTACACCTGGTACTGTATCAGTATGGTGCCGCAAAATATCTGAGCCTTACAATGACGGGATCTAAGTCAGCCTATCAACATTACTAATGGCTCAAAATGAGTGTTCATTTATATCTTTTCCCACAAGGTGGCTCCTCTGCAGTAGGCTATTAATGATTATTTGCTACTTTAACTTTGCAGCACTGGCTGTGAAAGCAAACAAATCTGTCCGCACACTATTAAATTCCCTGTTTTGTTTTTTTAGAGAGACTCAAGATGAGCCACCGCCATTTAGGTTTGGCTAAATTTAGAGGAAAAGGCACCAGGTCGTAGACGTATGATGCATGAATGTTAAAACCTTGTTTTAATCAGTATAGAGGCTCCCAGTTTTCTCAGTTGGAGAATGTAAAATTGCATCAGACCTCAAACAATGATGTATGAAAAATAAAAATGTTAAAAAATATCTGTTATCTATTTCCTTATTTTGACAAACCCATGGGGAACCACTGTAAAGGAGATAAAGAGCCACATGTGGCTCCTGAGCCTCAGGTTGCCTACTCCAGCATAGGTATGAAACAAATGTAAAACAGTCACACCTTCATTCAACAGAGCCTCTTATCAAATTGAATTGTCCTATTAATATGAGTGGGTCAAGTTTCAGTTTACTACTGCAGGATCATATAATTTAAGACAGTCCTAAGAAAGGTTGTTATGATGTCTAAAATTGTCCCGGAGATAACAGTTACATTGTGTTTAAGAGTTTTAGAGTGAATTTCAACTTCTCTAAAATGTTTAGATTCAGAGACCGGTTGCACAAAACACCTTCAATTTTGTTGTTAAATATAACACTAATGGTTTAATTTCTCCTTAGCTGAAAGACTTTCACAGTTGCACAGAATCCCTCAATAGGGTGCCTTAGTTAAGGGACAACAATCACTCATTTACTGTGCTGAAAGAGGTTTTACGGCGAGAAATGTTTCCATTCCTCTGAACTCGGGCGGGCCTTCTGTGGTGGTCACAACAACAAGTTTACAGTCGGTAAACAATGGAGGAGAAACTGGTGGTAGCTGTTGCTGGATACCCAGAGCTATACGGCCCAACGACAGACAGCAGGTTGTCAAACTGCCCCTGAGTCATCCTAAAATATGTCTGGAAACAGCCATCATGAAGGAGAAGCTCCTGGACCAACTGGTGGTACTCCCCATGATCCAGCCTCTTTTTTAGGGTCTCATGTACCCACACAGATCTCTGTTCATCTCTGTTTCAGTCAAATCTAAAGTGTAAAATCAAAAGCGTATCCACTAGGTTCTCCTGGTCGCAGAACGTTCTTCTCAGGGTGTGATATTTTTTTCATTTATCACCATAAACTCAGTCATGTTGCAGTTAAGGTAGTGTCGGAGGTACTTTTTTTTGTTTGTTTGTTTTTTTTACCTTGCCTTGGTTGCTAAGGTCTTTTGTGCAACGGTCTAGGGACTCCTTAAGTATTAAACCAAGACAAGGAGAAAACCATAAATACTTAAGTGAACATTTTAAGGAAATCTGTGCAACCGGACCCTGAAACTGAAATATGCTTTTCCTTTAATAAAATAATAGACCAAATGAGCACAGGTCAAACACCATAATGCAGGAGAGCACTGTGCAGAGCATGGCAGTGTGACCCATCTGTGTGGTGCAGATAAGACACTTACCAACATTATTTTTTATCATTTCAAACACTGACATTTTGTCAGGGGCTCCCTGTGCAGGTGTTCCAGGAAAATCTGCCCTGCAGGTTGAAGGACATCCGGCTTATATAAAATGTCTGGAGTTTATCCAGTGAGAGCCGTGAACACATTGTGGGGTGTGAATGTCAGCACAACAAAGCCATTTGAGCTGAAATTTAAACGTTAAACCCAACACTGTTAGCAGAGTTACTGCTTTTTATTTTATCTGGAGCCTATCCCAGCTGTCATAGGGCAAGAGGTAGGGAGACAGACAACCATTCACACTCACATTCACACCTACGGACATTTAGAGTCACCAATTAACCGGCATGTCTTTGGACTGTGGGAGGAAGCTGGAGTACCTGGAGGAAACCCACACTGATATGGGCTTTTCTAAAACCAAACTGAGGAAGTGTAAAATAATTTGGTTAAAACTAAGAGACATGAAGCCATATCATCCCCCAGGATCTGCATAAAGGAAAGGAAAGAGACACAGAGCGCCTTTCTGCACAGAGCAACTTATTTGCCTGTTGGACTCAGGTATTGCTACCTGACAGATTTTGGGTGTATAATTTAAGTGGCTGATGGGCGGAATTTGCTATTGGAGAGACAACAAGCACCAACACGTCTAACAACAACAAGTATGTACTGTCCCTGAGCGTTACATTCCTGTGGCTCACAACTTGTCTGGCAGTAACCAAATGAGCATCTTGTTATAGTAAATGTTCTACTTGTCGGACAAATTAATTTTGTACTTTGTAACAGGAATACTTCACCCTCCCAGATGATAATTTGCATATCAATTATTCACCCCGTGTTCACTGACTTCAGGAAGAAAACTTTGTTTCTCTTGCATGCCACCATGGTGAACGAAGAATCCAAAAAAGGAAGAAGCTGTTAACTGAATTGAAGTCATAGAAGTCCATGGTTAACAACAGAAAAACTTTATCAAAACATCTGTTTACAAACTCTCACACAACTTGTGCAGTATAATCCAAGTCTCATTTATCCAGGCCTATGCTCAGTGCTTCCTAGACAGACAGCGCTCTCCAGAACAGAAAGTTAAACTTTATCTATACCAGACTCCATTGACAAAAACAGCAGTTTTACCTCACTGAACACAGGAGTTGCTTGCTTGTTTCTGTTATTGTGTGACTTTAGTGCTTTAAAGAGTTAGTTTGGATTCACAAAAGTCTAACAATAACACTAACAAACTAACTGATTGAGGCAGCGGTAGACCAACAGTTCCTGTGTTCAGTGAGGTAAAATTACTGTTTTTGTCAATGGAGTCTGGCTTTGTAGAGAGTATGGGTAAGTTTCACTTTCAGTCCTCTGTTAGAAAAGGCTGTCTGTTTGGGAAGCACTGAGCATATGACTGGATAAATGAGACTTGGGTTATACTGCACAAGTTGCACACCTATGACTTCAACTCATTGAGAATCTTCTCAGTTTCTGGATTCTCTGTTAATTTACTATCTGTATAAGGTGGATGCAGATGCAGGAAGTAGTCTGGGGACAATGGTACCTTCATTCAATGCCCCAATCCTGTTATGAGAGAAAACCCAACAGTGCATGATGAAGCAATCAAACTACTCACACTTCATGTAGATGGTGGTGTTGGCATACAGCGTCTTTCGAAACACAGCCTCCTTTGTCTGAAAACACAATAAACACAAATCAGATCTTATCTAACTACTCGAGCTCGGCCAGATGACACGTTAACACCAACACTGCTGTCTGGAGCCTCTTCAGACCACGCAACCTATCATCATAGATCTGGAGACAGTTTCCAGAGGAGCAGAAGATGATATCAAGGGACTGTAACAATATTTTATTTTGTGAGATGAATCACGAACATGTGAAGCCAGGATGGTAATCAGCCACTGACAGATTAAGCATCGTCTTCTTCTTGAGATATGTGCAAACTACAAAGGGTGGACATTTTTGTATTTTTCATATGAGGAACCTCAGGCTTCTGACGAAAAGACCATGATACTGATAAAAAACACTTCTTTTATTGAGTGCAGTGTAACATCCGCTACAGATGACAGCTGACTGATTAAAATGCAGTGCAATTCCAGTAACAAGGCAGGGACAATACACTACTGCTTTTTCAGTGGCAGCTCATTTCGGCTGATTGTGTTGCCCTTATATTTAGATTTGCAGCTATACACCTGTTTCAAGGTATAAGGTGATATAAAAGCTGATGGTTATCACACCGTGTACATTTGTGTATCTATAGTATTGAATAAAAAATGCAACTGGACAGAAAATCTCCTCTTTATTTTAATTATTTTCAAAGAGGAGACAAACTTCCACTAACAAAAAGGTTTCAATTTTCAATTATAGTAATAAAATGTTTGTTCAACCATCAATAACCCTTCAATTTTCATTCCGTTAAGGGTCATTATGGCTGATAATATAAATTCTGTAATACCATGAAACTGCAATATTTTCTGAGACCGTTATTGTACCGTAAATAATACATGTTTTTTTTTTTCCTTAAATCTAGACTACGTGCTAGTAAACACATGTTATAATACAATTTGCTCCACATCTGCGTCCATATTCTCAAGCTTTCAATATCATATCAGGGTTCCACACCTTCATGAATACATTTGTGTGTTTGTTTGAGTGAGTTCTACATTTTGCCAACAGGTATGCACAAGTATTCTTAACACTTGAACACCTTTTAAATGTACATTATTATCTATTGCACATAACTGTACATACTTCTTTGGTTTATTCTTGTTCTTGTCATTATTCTACTAATGTACATATTGTAGTAACCGTTACAGCACAATATATTTCTGAATGTAACACTCGTTTACAGTGAAATGTAGCATAATGCACACATTTACACACTTACAGACTCGGCACAGTAAAGATGTATATTTCATTCCTACTATCTTAAGTACTAGAGTTAATATTATAGTATAATGCACATTCTTATTTCTACTTTATTAACTGTTGATGCTTTTAAAAGCAAACTTAAGACATACCGTTTAAGCCTGGCTTTTAAAAGAACTCTTTTATTTTATTTTTAGTATTATTTCAATTAACTAATTATATATATTTTAGTTTATTTACTAGTTTATTTTTTTTATTAATCTCAATTAAGCTGTATTTTTTTGTTTTTATTGTGTGAAACACTCTGGGTTGCATTATTTTTGTATGAAAAATGCTATATAAATAAAGTCTGATTGACTGATTGCACTTAATTACTTTATATTTACATACTTCTATATCATACTCATATTCTTACTGCTTATAATTCGCTATTATTGACATTAAAGTGACTGTAACAAATCTTAATTTCCCCTCTGGGATCAATAAAGCATTGCAAAAGGCAAGCATTAGGTGATTTATTCAATCAGAAATATGGATTTTTTTTTGACAAATAAAAAATTTAAAGATGGATAAATGATAAATAAGACTTTAGACATTCAAATTTAAGATTAATTAATGACTTTAAGTCCTAATTTATACATGTTTTTAATGAGCTGCAGACACCCTGTACATGCACACACACTGTACATAATTATCCAGTCCATTAATATTGCACTATTTTTACAGTTGACAACTTACAGAACACTTGAATAGAATCATTTTATTTTTATCTTATTTTTGGTCTGTGGTGCTTTTTATACATATTAATATATACATCTATTTATTAGATGTCAATAAGAGTCCTGTCTACATTTACTTGCCCCCCTTTGTTGTCCTTGTTTCTAGCTGATATGTCTATTTCTGTGCAAGTACACTGAGAGCAAACAGAGTTATATTCCCAGTATGTGAACACACTCAGCCAGTAAAGGTGATACTGGTTTTGACACACGGACCGGACTGACGGGTTGCTAGGGAGCTAGTTAGCAACCTCGGCTAACAGCTGCTACACAAGACTTAGCACGACAGACTCTGTAATAACGATAAAAATATAAATGTCGGAGGAGTGACACTGACCGAGTTGATCTCCACGTCCCATACTGACACCTCTGGCTCTGCCGCTGTGCCCAGGCGGAAAACTAAGGCAGAGAGCAGGAGACATAACCGATGCGACTGTAGCATCTTCATCTGTGCATCTACTACAGCAGGTCAGACTCGTATCCGCCGTCAGTTCCGGGTTGCGCTCTGGCTGCAGTTCACAGTGTCACCACAAGATGGCGGCAGAACACCGGAACATCCGCCAGTTTGGAAAACATCAGCTAGCATGATGCTAATGTCATGTAGCCAGGATAAGCTACATGACACAAGCTACATACCAGTGTTTTAATGAGAATAATAGCAATAATAATAATTTTATTTGTATAGTACTTATCTAAACAAATAAAAGGCAGGTTTCTTCCTCATGTCTCATCCATAAAGTTACTAGTTACTGAATTATCTATCAAAGGGCTGTAGGTCAATAAGAGCATGGCAACAGCTTTTCTGAGTGACTTGATCCACTCTAATCTCCTAAAAAGAGCGTAGGACAACAGAAAATTGACACCAAATGTAATATGAGGAGCAAAATAAGATATGAATGTAGTGAACATTTAATTGTGTAGCTGCCAAATAACTAACAGAGAAAAACAAGACAACCTACTAGATACGTTCTCACAAAAATACATCTCTTACACAAGTTACAAAGTGCCTCAAAAAGTGCATGATAATAAGACAATAACAATACAATATTTAAAATCAACCATTTCATGCATGAATTATAAACAGCTAAGTCAAGGTTTTTTCCCTAGGCTACGTGTTTTTATTCTTTTTAACGCATGAAACAAACAAAACAAAACAGAATTTGAAGTTAATTTTTCACACGTGCATTTTTAGAGGCTTTTTTTCAGCCCGTGTATCAGTTTTCAACTATAGAAATATAAACTAATGAAATAACTTATGTGAAACTATAAAAATATACTTGTAATGTTGTTCAACTAGTGTGTTCCCTTATTAATCATATTCTAATAATGGTCAATGACTCCTGACTGCTCAGCCTCTCCTCTCTGTTGCACATGAGAGAAGTTTTCCTTGTTGGCTTTCTCCCAAAAACCCCTTCTGATAGATATCCACTCATTTGAACCCAAACCTTAACCAAAAGACCACTTTTTGTGAGAAAGTCTCGAGGAAAATTTCTCCTAACTGCCCCTCTTCCCTGTCTACTTTCATGTCCTCTCTCCCTCATTTACCTGGTGGCTCTTGATTCTTCAGGCCCCTACACACTCCTCCCCCAAAATCAATTTATTTACAGCCCAAAAAGTCACCACAGGTTAGGTTTTTTTCAATTCAATTTCAATTTCAATTCAGTTTTACTTATAAAGCCCAACATCACAAATCACAATTTGCCTCACAGGGCTTTGCAGCATACGACATCCCTCTGTCCTTAGGACCCTCGCAGCGGATAAGGAAAAACTCCCCCCAAAAAACAAAACGGTAGAAACCTCAGGAAGAGCAACTGAGGAGGGATCCCTCTTCCAGGACGGACAGACGTGCAATAGATGTCGTACAGAACAGATCAACATAATAAATTAACAGTAATCCGTATGACACAATGAGACAGAGAGAGAGAGAGAGAGAGAGAGAGATGCAGGACAGACGGTAATGTTAATAGCTTACAACAACATTAATGAAAGTAATAATATTATAAGTATAATTCTGGCTGTTGTGGTACAATATGTTGAAAGTATATATTAATATCTGATAGTATACATGTGTGACAATAATCATATGTGTATAATAACAGTAGAAGTATGACTAATGACTAATGATGGCAGCAGCAGCAGGAGGCGGCATCTGGCAGGACCACGGCAGCAGCACAACCACACACGTCACGCTGTCCAGGCACCGCTGCGATATGAGTTAATCTGAGAGACAGTGGAGCACAAAGGCTCCGGAGAAGAAGCC